TGAAAATCATACGAATTGTTGGATATTCACACTCATTGTCATATACAATTTAACTCACAGCCATCCTCCTACTCTTCCTCCACCCTCATACTGAAAAAAAATCCGGAAAAATTTTTATTGAAAATTGCTTTGAAAGTCCTTTCTCTCTCATTCTCGTTTAGCTTCTCTCGCTTCAGTTTTCATTCATCCTCACCTCATACTTTTGGTAATAGGTTGAAAATGAGAATGAGAGAAAGAGATATTTGAGAGTAACAACAGTCAACTGGACGTGTCTGTATCAGCCATTTTTCCATTATCTAATTCTCGATTTGCGTCAACTTTTTGCTGGATTTTCAATCGTCAAACAAACAACAATCCGGCATTTCTCTTTTGTGACAGCCGGAAAACCTTCTGTAAGGCCGTCATTTTCCTTTTTCTTTTCGCCAACTTTCGTTATCATCTAAGAAAAGGCTTCTAATCGAAAATAGAAATAGTTACAAGCTGAGTATTTCCGCTATCACCAGATGTTTAGAGTAGTCTGATCATCATCTAGTGACACACAAATCATCTGAATTCTCTCATTCTTTCTTCTTCTTTCTTTTTTTTATTCTTTTTTTGTAAAAAATAGCTAGCAGAAGCTGATTATAATTTCATATTAAAGTTTTACAACTTTGTTTTTCATACAAGGGCTTAGTTGTTGAATATCTTCAATGCATTTCATGTTTCTCTTTAAAGTTCTTTTGGAAACATGAATAAAGATGGAGACAGTGTGATCGAGATAGAGTGAGCTAGTGAAATAAAAAATAATGAAAATAGCAGTTATGTGTTCTTTGTTTATTCGTCTGTCAAATTAAAATGTTTATTATTTATTGTCCCATAAGGCATATGAAGCTGATTTAGCTTCTTTTCCTTATTATAGACATCTATTTATCTTTTACATCTCCTTCTTCTTCCTTACTTTTATTTCTTTTTTCTTTTTTTCAACGGAAATTATCTGCGGCTTTTGCTTCATTCAACCAATTTTCAAACTTTCTCTTGTTTTCTTTTTTCATTTCCTTTTCTTTTGCTTTCCACATGTACTCTCATCACTCTTACTCTCTCTTCATCTTATATTATCTCTCTCACTTACTCTTTAACTCTATCTTGTCACTATCATTTGTGTCTTCTTATCCAAACCATGCCTAATCATGGAATTGTATCTTTACTTCTATAGTATAAGGAAATTATGAAAATACTTATTACGCGACAAGAGCACCGTCTCTCAATTATACACAGTGTACAACCGCTCACAAACGTCATTTTCTGAAAAATGAGTTTCAGGTCATGCAATTATCTCATTTGCATTTCCACGTCGTGCACGTGAAATTCATTTGCTTCACTCATTTGCATCTTATTTGCATGAATAGAAGAAAAATTTGTTGTTTGCACTTTTCCAAAAGGGTCATTAGATACTTTTCTAACACCACACACACATACACACAGAGATACAAAAAAAAATAAAAATGATTCTTCTCACATCAGTATCACACTGAGCTTACACTTAATCGTCACCTTCAGCTTATATTTCAATATATTATTCTTACAATTACATTCTCAATATATTATTTTCATTTTACAACAAGAAGAAAAGCCTTCTAAACATATATTGTCCTCATTCTCATCTTCATCTCCTTCTTCTACAACATCTCTTCTCTTATATCCCTCCATTAATTATTCAATACAACCTTTTGTTATTTTTTTATTTAAGAGCCCATTAGTCGCTCAGCTCAAGCCATACAAATCAAATTTTTCAATTTTCAACGCCCATGATGTCATTTGTTTAACAAAAAAAAAAGAAACGAGAAATAGGAAAGTTAAAAAGTTAAAGAAACGAAACGAACATGTTTCTTCTTTCCTCTCTCTCTCCCTCTCTCTATCACTCGCACTATGCAATCTTCCTGTAAGCTTCCAGAGAGTTCACTCTGATAGCATCTCTATGTTCATTCCATTACTTTTTTTATATCAAAAATCATGAACTTGCAACCATTGGCAATCAATCACACCTCTCATAGCTAAATCAATCTGACCTCTGGTTAGGTTCATTTTTTTATACTTTATTTGGATTGAACGACCTGACACATACAAACATCAGACTACAACTTCTTTTTTTCTCTCCAAAAAGCGTCAATCTCATCAACAGTTATGTTTTTTTATCTTCTTATTGTATTTTCCTTTCTTTCTTTCCTTTTTTTTTCCTCAAAATTTGATATTTGCTCTTTGCAAAGCGCTGACCATCAACAAATTGTTTTATAATTAGATGAAAGAAAATAAAAGAGAAGGTGAATGAGACAAATTTTTTTGATTGAACAGATTTTCTCGAGAACGGCTAAGACTGTAAGAAAGGCTCGTCACTCTCACCTCACTTCGTCGTCATCATCATCATCATCCTCGTCATTTTGATTCGTCTTCATTTGCTCTTTAAACCATTGTTCTTGTGCATTGCTATCTCTTCTTCATTCTCTATCTTTTTTTACTTAAAATTCTTCTGATGATTTTAATGATTTACGGATGTCACGGTTTTCTCATGTGCCCACAGTGAAATACGACCAAATGTATTCGTTTGTACAGTTTGCAATCCATCAAACGAATGTTTTTTTTATTATTTTTTTCTTCAAATTCCTTTTCTTATTTATGATTTTCTACAACCGTTCCATTCCACTACTTCTTTTTTTTTGTAAAAAAAATGCTTTTGCATGCTGCTTACAGCGTTTTTTTGTTACTTGTCCTGCCCCACGCACTACTTCTCTCCCATCATTCTTCCCATATCGCCTTGCTGACTCTTTCCGCATTTTAGCTTCTCTCTTTTCACATTCTCCTTATTTAGTCATCCAATAAAAAACATATTTCTCATTAGTCTCATGTTTGATAATTTGTTTTTGAGATTGAAATGACAAGAAAAATGAACAGAAATTTCGGAAAAAAACGAGAAGAATCAGCATTCTCTTGGCACAGATAACGACCGGTTTCTTTGGTTGTTGGACACAGTCTTGAGGTTGTCCTCTCCCTCGATATTAACTAGCTCTCGTCATTTGTCTCTCTTTCTGCTTTAATTTCCCTCTCTATCTCACTTTGAATTTCTTTCTCACTTCATAAACACATCTCTTCTATCTGTCGTTGTTCTATAAGAATTCCGTAATGTTAATCCGTCTGCTTTTCTAATTTATGTCTACCTGTTTCTGCTCAAAAACTCTACTTTAAAGATCTGTAAAGATCCCCTGCTCGCTTGCTATTAGTTCTTTCTTTCACTTTTGTTCTTAGGACTATCATTTGACCTCTCCAAAGAGATCCTCTTTTATCTGAAAACTACTCTGTATGACCGATATAACCAGCGGCCTCATAACCTGTTAAGAAATGTTCATTTCGGCTTTTTCATAAAGTGTCGGCTCTTTCACATCGGCTTTCGCCAAACTTACTCAATCTCAAGCATCTGAACTCATTAGGTTTCCAAACTCACTAATTCGGTAAATTTGCTTTCTTCCTCTTTTTCTTAGAAACGTTCTTGCACGATTCTAGTTGAACTTGTTGCTCTTGGGAGAACTTGTCAAAGTCGTTGAGCTTCCGCCTCCATTTGGCTTCTTATTTTCACACTTTTGAACCTGAACGGCTAAAGTTTGGGTGCAAGTTGGACGTTACTCTCAATTCGCTTTCCTTCCTTTTCACTTTCCGATATATTCTGTTTGATTTTGCTCTTTTTTTTCTTCAAAATGTCAATTAAATGAAGAAATTTTGACAACAACGCTGTCAAGACTGCTGCAGAAAGAGCTGGACCGTACCACTGTTGACGCTTAAGCTGTCAAAATCGTAACAGAGCAGTCGCTTTGGTAACGAGAATTTAATGAGAGAAGAAGAGAAAAAATGTTTCAAAGAAGGCTTCCTAATGAGAGAGAAAGATTTGATATTTACAAGCAAGCGCTTTAAGAAAGATTGTCAATAATCTGATGCTCAATGATCGTGTACAATCACCCACCCCGGAAGAGAAGTTGAGACGGGGAGGGGCATGTAAGGAGAACAACATTAAGTGTGGGGGATTTAGCATGATGTTGTCCTCGCCACTTTCTATAAGATATCATTTACATCTCGTAGCTATCGTGTTTTTCGACTTTTTTTGATGTCCTTAAGCTACTGTTCATCATGATCACCACAGTACTATCGCATCTCCAAAATGAAATGACTTTTGCTGTTTTTGATGAAAGATGAATCTGTTCGCTTTTAAATTCTGAAAACTTTCTTTTTTCATATTAAATGATTTGTCCATCTGTCTCTCTTTTCTTTTTTTAACTATCCCTTTCTTATATGAATCTTCATCGAAACAACTTAGTTGACAAGCTTCATCACAGACTCGTCAGAAGCCACTAACATGCTTACCAGTTCTCCTTTTTTCTTTCACAACTATGTTTTAGATTAAACAGACGATAGTCAAAATATTTCGGCATAGATAATTCATGAGCTAATCGCCAACAGATAATCCGTTAATGGTCATCTATTCTGTACTTGTACTCCTAATTTCTCCACCTCCGTCCCTCTCTGCCCTTTTACAAAATTTACATATTAGAAATATTCTATTTGAAGATTTTCAATCAATTTTTCACCTCCGCCCCATCCTCATATGGTCATTCTATTGTAAACTCTAATAAAATGTTATTAACTGAACATAAATGTTTTTTTTTTCGCACATAGTTCGTCGATGATGTTTCAATCTGGTTTTGATTTGATCTTTTTTTTACTTGGAACCAAAACATTTTCAGTGTTTTATCATTTTTATTTGCTTTTTCCTTATTTGAACCTCTGAATCGACCGGTCTGCTCTCAATCACCCTTCCATCACTCATCTCATCGTCTTCAGCATTTTCATTTCATTTTTTATTCATTCAAACATTTTTTTGTGTGTTTTCTTCTCATCACATTGATGTTGATCGCTTTTTTTGTCTTCTTGTTCGACTTAATTTGGTTTGATTCGGAAATTTCATTTTTTTTATTTTTCAGATGCCACTTCTCACTTCTTCCTCTTCCTCTAATTTCTTCACATTACCTTTCCGTAAGAAGAAGCAAAGGTATATCAATCACATCCTGGATGGCTAGACTCTATTATTCTTTCTTCAGATATACCATTAATCCACCTGATGAGTCAGTCAACGTCATTTATCTTGGAAATGTCTTGACAGTCATGGCCAGAGGAGAGAATTGCTTCGAAAAGCCGTTATCCCTTATATGGAAAGCTTACTGTCAAAGAAATCGTAATGATTTGCACATGAATTTAGAGGTTCGAACAATGCCTTAACATCGTTTCATAAAAATATTTTTCAGATAACAAGATCTGGACTGAAAGCTGAAACAAAGCAACAGGGATTAACGGAGTACTGGGCTCATAGAATAACGTTCTCTGTCGCTCCGCCACAATATCCAAAAGTTTTTTGTTGGATATATAAACATGACGGCAAAAGGTTCGCTTTTGTTCAGCCATTTTTCTCAATTGATATTTGAATTTAAGGTTGAAACCTGAATTGCGATGTCATGCGGTTCTTTGCAAAAAAAGCAGCGAACCAGCTGTGATTCATAAGAAGTTACAAGACTTTCTCTTTGCTGCTTTACAGGTTCGTATGATTTGATTACTTTGTATTATTTTGAAACCTTGGAATTGAATCTTTGAGAAAGAAGAAAGAGAAAAAAATTCATGCAAATTTCGACGTGTTATTCATGCGTGGTATCGCGCTGCGTTATTTGACATCATTTTGCCATTTTGTAGACATGGAGTGCGGTTGTTTTCATATGTTAGACGCTTATATTAAACATTCTTGATTGTGAAATGTGAAATGTGAAAGAAAAGAAAAGAAAGACAAAAGCTTCATTGTCTTCTGTGTGGGTTATATGAGGTCAACATATCATCCACTTTAAGCAGATTGTAAGGCTTTGCTAAAAGCTTTCACATATCCTTCTATGTGTTCTTGACCAACTAAACGGACAATGCAGCCATGCTTCATTTAATATTTTTAGGAATATAAACGAGAAAAACTTGCTCTCCAAAATGCTCGATTAACTGGTTCAGCTGGCTGTCCGCGAAGAAAGCTTTTACTTCAAACTGGAAGTTTGAACTTCAGACCTCCAGTCAGCCGAAGTAAAAGCGCCCCAAGGCTAGGAAGTATCGACGAAGAGCAAGAGGTTTGTCGATGTTCTTCCGTAGAAAAAATCTAAAGCAATTTCTTTACAGGAAGAAGAACTCTCAGATTCGGAATCTGTTTGTTATCGAGTGGCCCCGGACGTGGAATCGCAGGCTTCATTTTCAGTATCGGATTCTGCACCTTCTACATCATCTTGTGTTGATCATGGTCGAGACCAACAATGTGAGTGATGAGAAACAAAATATATTTAAACAAAATATTTTTCCTTCAGATTCGCACAGCTTATGTAATTCGACAGCATCTGGTCCATCAAGCGTTTGTTCAGAAGATGAACGGAGAAGAAGTCAGAATGTAACAGATGCTGACACAATTTCAGATGAGAGTGGTAAGAAAGAATAGATTCTGTTTATCAAATTAACTCTTAAAAATATTATAGGTTACCATGAGGACAAATTAGGACGTGATCCATCTGAGGATTTATACTATTCTGATGGAGAGCTTGTGATTCTAGAGGATGATTATGACGATGATGAAGTACTTGTGACAGCACTCTAACAGATCTCACAACTTCATTTTATCTCTATATCTCTAAATCGAAAAAAGAAGCACATCATGGCTACAATACTCAGTCTCAAACCGTCTCAGGTCTTCGCATCTCCGATTCGTGTAAACCATTTACCCCCGGCTGTCCTGCTTAACATTTTCACTTTTTTTATACTTTTACCATAATTAATTAATCGTCTTATACTAATCTCCTTGTTTTTTTTCTTCTTCCGTCTAGACTGGAAGAAAAATAAATGAGCGAGAAAAGATTTTTTTCTTTAAAAAAATCTTCCAACACAAATACTTTAGAGCTCTTCGTCGATCGAAGAAACAACAAACATGATTTTCGCTTACAAATACGGTTTAACCATTTTTTTGCTTATGCTAATGCCTTCCATGATTGTTGTTGGACCTAATTGGTCGCTAATACGGCTTCTGGGGTGCTTGACACCTCTGCCCTTCACCCCAAATCCCAATACAACTTCCTGCTCTCAAAACTCCCATTTTGTTTGTAAAATTCTGAACTATGCATGTCTATATATAATATTCTAATTATTATGAGCTGTTAAGAGTTTTTTAAATTATCCTGGAAAGAAAAAATTTGATTTTCGTTGTTAATGTTTTCCTCGTTCTCCTGCAACAGGAGAAACTTGCTGTATTTTAGTTCAAAACCCACCTTTTCCCCCTTGTGCCATTTGTGATTACAGAGAAATCGAAAATAATTTGCAAATAAAGATGTTATATTCAATTTGTTACATGTTTTTCGGTTACTAAGTTGAGATATTCGCTGTCGCTTTCATGCTCTCTTAACAAATGATCCTTCATCTTTGTCATGATCATTGACGGAGATTTTTGATCGTTCATAACTCACACAAAGCAGAAAGAATGAACTTTTATTAGTAAGACACAAAATATATCTAGCAGAAGTCGATTTCCTTGCAAGATGCAGCTGGATCAGCCTTGGTTTTGATGAAGTGATTGAACTCGTTTTCCTTCTAAAATAGACTTTTCAACTCAATACTCGATATTAAACAAACAGATTTGAAATAAGCCTTGCATTCTCCCTTCAAGATTCCGAGTCCACCACAGACTTTGTTTGTTTCCTTTTCGAACCAGGTGTCGAAGTCACCGATCTCGTTATTCTCACCATTCTGGAAAAAGTACTTACAGCTTGGTTTTCATTATTTCGATTTTGATTTTGTGTTGTTTGAAGCGAAACAGATTGTTCTTTACTCAGAGCCTTGTAGCAAAAAGTAGAGGAGAATATGAACAAAGTGATAACGAAAACGAACTCTGATGAGATCCTCACATGGGATACAGAGAGCTCCACCGAGGATGGAAGGCTTCTTAATATCCACAGGGGTAGCCAAAGTGGCGACAATCAAGATGGCAGCAAGAACGACGGCTCTCATTCTGTCACAAGAAAAAAGTTGAAATAAAAGTAAAAGGGAAAGTTTAGTAAGTAGTTTGAAACTGGAAAAGAGTCACTCGAGTGAGCTTTTGGCTTCTTTTATCAGGGTTCCTTATCAGCTTTTATCAGACAAATCATGCTGCCTCAGGTGCAACTGGAATCCGACTTTTACTTTATTGGAAGATTGATTCATGACATAAATCAAACTTAAAACGAACTGTTCAAAAATTTTATAAAAAAAAAGGAAACAAATGAGAGAGCGGAAGTTCGGGAGAACTCATAAGTAAAGCTGAAATAGTGGAATAAACAATAATATATATCGCGGAACAGTTGCTATATCAAAACTCCAATTACAGGAATAACCGTTTACTAAAGCTGTTTTCAAAACAAATGTTCGTTAAGATCAGGATGCTGGACTGTGATAAAGCAACGATTCCAGAAAAAGTAGGTTAATGAGCTAAAATCGTTGGAATATTCTCCAAGTCTAAATCAACGAGCAGGAAGGATTTAGAACTGGCTGTGCTACTTTTTCGACAACTCTCCTTGGGAGCAACGTTCTCAAGATGCTTCAGCATAGAGCTGGCACACTTTTCTTGCTGGGAGTTCTTCAATTTTTCTTGCTCAGATTTTCTAAATACAATTCTGATGAATCAGAAGAAAGTACGCAACCTACTTGTACCAGAAACCTCCATCAAACTGACCGACAGGCTTCGAAATTTCATAAGCAATGGACGATTGAACTCTAGCAGCGAAAGTAGTGCTATCCTCGTCTTCGTATTTACAAGTTTTCTCTGAAGTTCAATGTTCTTTGATCGTTTGTAATTATTTAATTTCGCACCCAAATAAGTCACATCATACACCGTCGCCCAACTCATCATCAATCGCAATAAATACATGTAAAACTGATCTTCAAACCAATAAGCATCAGAAAACCTTCCATCCTGTCTGAAATTTAATAATAAGATTGTAAAATCGTTTCGGAACGACTTCATGGCGACTGGATAAATATCAATCCCTTCGACGAACGCAGCTTTCCTGAATTGCAAAACTTGTGAATTATTGGAGCAATATCCCTCTGGGAAAAGCAGAATAGGTCCACTGGTCTGAATTTTATGTTTAGATTTCAAGAACCGATTATTTCCTTCTGAAAGGGAGATCTTTCAATACCTTTGCTAACGTGAGAACTCCATTTAGAAAATCAGTTCTCTCTTGAGCACTAGCTCTCTCCAGCCACAATGATGGACATATTCTACTAGTCAACATTTCCAGGGAGCCTAAAGAAAACTTTTTTTACGTTACAAAGTTGTGATATCCGAATACCTATAATGCCCTTGTGCTTTTGACCAGTTACGATATACCCATCTGAGTTCTCATGATCAGCACCAGCCCAAATGATTTGAACATCATTTGGAGTTATATGATTAGCAACAACCAGCCCTGCATTAAAATGTTACGTGAATGGTGCGTGGGAAGCGTTTATTCATTTACAAATTTTCATGAAAGCGGTTGCTGACGCTGTGATTCAAAAAAAGATCAATCACTGTTGATCAAAAGATGAGAACGATGAAATCGAACTTTTAAAAGTGTAAAAATAATAAAAAGTGTGTCCACCTGGTCTACGAGGAGCGTTTTCTTTTTTATCGTAAGTTGCAACAACTCCAAGGCTGGCAGAAAATATGCGACAGTACAGAATGGAAACCCAGCGTCGCTCGCGTTCGGACAAATCCTACATTATAATATCCAAAAAAGGAAAATGATAGGAAAGTTGATACCTTAACCATAGTCAATAAGGCACAAACGGCAACAAAAACGAAAGAAAAAATGAAAAGACTCAAACGAACAGGGAATAAAAAGAAAATTCTAAGAAAGAAAAGCTTGTAAAGAAACATTGAAACCATGAACTGGCGTACCTGAACGAGAGAGTGACGTAGAATAGAACTTTCTGTGGAATGTTCCATGAATCCAGAGCTCGAAAACGCAACAAACTTTCCGCATAAGAGGGTGCATGATCGAAAGCGGATGAGAAATCATCCTGAATCGATTGGTAAGCAGAAATTATATGATTAATTCACCTGTATGATAGATTCTACTCCAGATCTGATAGCATCTCCAGCCATCGCCCACGGACCTGCGGTATCAGAAGTAAACTCAAACCTCGGTGGCAAAGAAGTAGTTGGCTTTACAAGTCGATCTTTCTCATCCTGCCAAAACATAGGTTAAATGAAACCTCATAAAATCTAAGACTAACACAGAAACATACAGTAGGACCAAATACAAGCACAAGAAACTCACTCTATGAATTATTGAAGGCCAGGCTTCACCAGCTACATCTTTAGGATAATTGGGAGGAAATAGGTTTTGAAGTTTTCTTATAAGTTGCAAGTATATAAAAGGCAGTTTATTCCAGGATTTTCCTGTAAGTATGAGAGCGACAGTTGACAAAAAACATCCTAATACGACTGTGAAGTATATCAAGATGAGGTCTAACAGCATTTCTAAAATTAAAGACAATCGTTGATAACAGTACCAAATATGGACAGAAAAAACGAGATCGCTAAGCGATTACGACTGAGCAAAAATGTCAAATATGAAATTTTCATTGCCAAACAAGCTTCAAGAGCTTTGAAAGTAAATATTTAACAGATCGAACCTTACGAAAATAGGAGATCAATCAGTTTTCGATTGAAAAAAATCAATGAATGATAATACAAAAATATTTTACGTTATCATTGCACTTCAAAGATTTGAGAATATTAATGGGAAAGGTGAAAAATGATAAAAGTGATTACATTGTGTTTTCCGCCAATTATGGTAGATAATCATAAACAGGTTACCATCAAAATAAAACTTTTTCAACTCGTATTCGTGATCACAGAGAGATTTAGGTAGTCAGTAAGTAACCCGTTACAAAAGGAACACCACTACAAACTTTATCCTGATATTCCATATAATCCTGTCCGAAGAATTGGATCAAATCCCGTTCCTCTTCAAAAATTCTGTCGTGGAAGAACTTCCACGATACGTAAGCATACGCCAATGCACAAAACGGATTACATAAGATTAATTGAGTTCCTACGCTCCAGAGAAACCAGCCTAAATTCTTCCTTCAAATGGATATTGACTGCACTTACACTAACCGCAATAGCCGGGGTGTCTCATCCAAGCATAAACACCTGTTACTACGAGGACATGATCTTCTCTTTTACGCATTGCCAATTTATGGGTGAATCCAACACCAGCTTGAACCATGGCCGATTTGCGGATGAATTCTCCAAGGCAACACAAGAGGAAACCCAGAAAACAAACCCATCCTCCTTTCACAGCAGGCACGTAGTAAGCCTAGAATTTGAGAAAAAAAGTTCCTAGGGAGTCATTAATCAATTTACCTCGAGGAAAAATTCGAACCAACTGCTGATTGCTGCTATCCAATACGCGTGCGAATGATTCAGAAGAAATGAATCAGGCTGAAGCGATCGCCTACAATAGGAATTGTCTGATTTTTGAACAGACCAGCTAGACGACAGACCTATTTGTTATCGCTGTGAAGACAAACTCAGAAAAATGAAAAACAGAAAGAATGAAGGAGTAGGCGAAAAATGTGGAAAAAGATGGTCTGTTTAATATGAAGAATAATAAGGCTGATGATCCAGTCGTCTGATGGACTTTTATTAGAATATGATTACTTTTAGACTTACCCAGCCTAGAAAAGCTGCCTGCATGGTGAACGCATGTTTCAGTCCAAGCTTTGTTGTCTTGTTATACAAAACTAAAGCATATCCTTATCAGGTTACCATTAAATAGAACTTACTATAAAAGCAAATGGCTGATATGGGAAGGCACAAGAAATATGGGAGCCATATTAACACGAGTGAAATTGCTAAGAAATACGAAAAACATTGTAGAGACGATCGAAATTCCGAATCTAATCGATATTGATTGCATAAGTTTGAGTATGTTAGCATGAAGTTCCTGAAAAATAATGAATTTTCGATTATGAAAGCTAAAAGTTCAATGAAACAGTGATTCAGAAGGTGTCTTCAAATCTTTCAACCACCCTCTATTTTTCGTGTCACGTCTGCTTCCTATTTTTAATGTCACGGCACCAAAATTTAAATAATAGAACTCACCAAGACTGATTTAAACGTTCGTGTGGAAAATCAAAGCGTTCAGAAGTTTGATTTGAAATACGAAATCTATTCTAATTAGCCACATACAAGCTGACATGGATAACAGAACACTAACGCCTTTGAGTTGTGTGTCGAACAGTCGAGTTCCGCTTCGGCACTTCACCCCTCGAACTCAACCTCAACAACCTTTACGGATGGATTTCGATGAAGATTCGTAAGTGCTTATCAGATTTAAACACTAAGATGTTCTTATTAAAGTTTTGATATGGATTCGACATTCATGTCGAGTGAAAACCTCAGCTCTGTTGAAGACGCGATACGGTAAGTGCTTGCTCTTCTATGTTTCAAAACGTATACACTGATCAGACGATTTACTAGCAGCGGTGATTTCTCCACTGCTGTTCTCTTTATTGACGCTAGCTATGCAAAACAATGTGAAGGAGATACAAGTTTAGATATTGTCAAATTCGCTCGACATATCCAGGTATTTCGTACCTACTTTTTCAGACTAAAATTTTTATTAGGCTTTGGCGAGCGTGCATGAGTGGATGCGAATTAGAGCAATGTTGGAAGAAACGAAGCTATTCAGAAGACATATTTTTTTTGCTTACTTCTATATAAGCGCATTATTTCACCTGCGACTGTATACTGAAATACGATCAGCTCCGCTAGGGCCTGTGGTTAGTAGTAATTTTTTTGCTGCCGTTTATTGCAATATTTCAAGCTCGAGCAAGCCGGTGTACCTACAAAATATTTTCAATTAGTTGAAGGTGTTGAATGTGGTGGCTATGTAGGAGAGTGTACACCTTTAAACGCTGAAGACGCCAGAATTTTACAAGGGATGGTTGATGACTATAAAGTATGTGTTTGTTTTTGAAACTTCAGGACTTCTTTTTATAGTTGAACTCCGGCATGCTACTAGTTTACGGACGTACGTTTCTGATCTTGGAGTATCGTGAAGCAGCTTGTCGATGTTTGAGTTTGGCCTTCATGAAGGATAGAGACTGTTTGCTAGCACAACAATTACTGACTCGTTATAAATTACTGGATACTATTCAAGAAGCGAAGCTGAAAAGATTGGTATGTGTAAAGTTGAAACATTTATGATTTGATTTTTCAGGTGTCTGAGCGATCTAGCTTAAATTTACCGTTAGACCCTCGCGTTAGATCTGTCCACGCTGAAGAGTTGTTGGGACGAGGAGATGCTTCAGCGGCTTTCAAAATAACTAATGACATAATAAAAAAACATGGTATTTATATGGTGAGAACTTAACGATCAGTGCTATACTCTTCAATTTCGTTTAAGGATTGTATTCTTACACATATCGGTGCATTGACGCAACTCGAAAATGCCGAGGAATTGTTTTTGTTAGCTCACCGACTTGTAGATACAATGCCTGACCATGAATACGCTTGGTACGCTGTTTCAATGTATTATTTCGCTTGTAAAAATATACCTGCTGCTAAAAACTTTATGAGTGAGTTACTTGTGATAATTACGTCTGGAATAACGTCAATTTATAGACAAAGCCACCATGATGAATACGGGTTTCGGTGAAGGTTGGCTTGCATATGGACATATTCTATCCGCCGATTCAGAGAATGATCAAGCGTTGAATTGTTACTACAGGGTACTAACCACAATCGATTCACCTAACTGTTACCATTTTCAAGGCTTCGCGTATTCTGGAGCGCCACTTTGAGCCACTACTTTACGTGGCCAAGCAATATTGCAAAAGTGGAGTAAAACTAGCTGATCAGTTCTTGGAAGACGCCGCCAAACTTTCTCCAACAAACCCTATCGTAATACACGAACAAGGCACGCTAGCTTATAACAAATGTGATTTCCCAGGTGAATTGTGGAATAGTCTCCAAATATTATTATTTCTGTTCTAGCGTCTATTAAACTTCTGCATAGAGCTTTGAGTTTGGTGCTCTTTGAAGACCCAGATCTCGCCCAGAGTAATACTAAACCTTTAGTTCAGATAATCAGGTTTTTCAATGTTTATGTGTGATTTTCATCTATTTTTTAGAAATGCACCTATTAATGAGTTTTGGGAGCCTTTAATCAACAACTTAGGACATTGCTCTCGTAGGCTTGGTGCTAATGAAGATGCAATAGCTTATCATCAGTAGGGTTGACATTTAGATGCTCCGAATAAGATAATTTTTCAGGAGAGCACTTTTGATGAACCCCCGTAATGTTCAAGCACTCACTTCGATCGCTATGGCTTACGCAGCCTTAGGAGAAATAGAAGACTCTGCCATCTTTTTCCACAAGTCCCTCGCTATTTGTCCATATGATGAGGTATCTTTTTTCACTTCGAACAGATCTTCATACAGTTTTGTTTAGTTGACTAGGGCTGCTTTGGAAGCCATCACATCAACTCATGCTGACTTTGTTGTTCCCAAACAAGAGGTCCGTGCCCTGTTTCTTTATGTGAACTTAGTTATTTTTTCAGCAACCTATCGAGGATAAGTTAATGAGTTCTGAAGAACTCGATAAATTGCTTTCGCGAACCACACCTGTACAGAAGAAAGCTTGTTAGTACTGTTCTCATTATTACGGCTCATTTCCCCGCATGTCTCAATGCATATACATTACATGTTGTCAACTTTAATTTATTATAAACGTTCGTAATATCTGGCAAGTTTTTTATACAATTCATCAAAACTCGTATAAAGCAGAACAAGGCAAGTGAGTTAATATGACCTGGTATATGGTTTTACATCAATAGCTGTAGAAATGTCTGGTATTCTGTTGGAAGTCACCTCTAGGAGATCGTGCAGGTGGGATATATTCACCATGGGTCACGTTCAGTGGAGGCACCTGGAATGTCCATTTCATGAGGTAATTGTGAGTCTACATACTTGAGACATTGGCGTCATGGATCTGAGAGGAGTCTGAGATTCGGCGGCAAATGATTCGCGCAGTGAAGGAGATAAAAGCTGGAAGCCAAAGTTTGACAGACATAAAATAGGTTGACTAACCACTTTGGGTTGATCTTGATAGTATAGAGAAGCCCGGTAATCATCTCTAATACCGGCCCTCTCGCTATCGCTCTGTATGAAAAATGTGAATGTTGTTAATACAACTCCGGACAACATCGCGAAACTAATTATGAAAAGAGCTAAGCAAGCTAAATAGAATGAGTATCCATATGTTTTCTAGAAGAAAAAATAGTTAGTGTTTACTCGTATATTATAACTTCACTTCAAAAGTATTCTTCGTTCCGATCAGGTACTTCGATTCCAACATTTCGGCGTTCACCACGAAGACAATGAGGGATATTGTAAGGAAGAGAGCTGGAAAACATAGTGTAACCATCTTTCTTTTTTATGCACGAAAGGAAACGTGTATTTAAGACTTACCGCTCAAAACAATGAAGACGTCGTAGACAATCGTTGCTATTCTGCTCTTCTCTTTCTTGAAATAAGCAAGAGCAGCAGCAACGAAGGCAACTGATAAGATGCCGAGAGTCACCATATTGAGAATCAAAACGGCGTAGTGCCAACCTGAATAGAACAATATTGAACATATTATAGATAAGTTTACCAAAGAAATAAGGAGTTCGCAAGAGTTTTTTTCTGCAATCTCCAATCAGGAAGAATCGACAAACGTCCACCTGAACGAGAGGATGTGGAATGAAAAAAGCAGTAGTTCACCTTCTCATAATAATTAATTAAATTATCACTGAAAATATACCAACACTGAGCAGCTCCCGGGCAATAGAGCCAGAGACCAGATTGAACATATCGTCCAATATCTAAGTCTTCGGCTACCTGTCAAAATGCTTTCAGAACCTCGTCACTGTGAAAACTGTTACCTGCCAAGCGGGTGTGACGGTGCCAATGAAAAGAAAAAAGGCACTAAGGGCCGTTAGAACTGCTGAAACTATCTGGCATTGAGCCAGAGACAATTTAAGCATACGATCTAAGAATACAGATATTAGAAACAAGCAAATGGTTAGAGCAAAATATCAGCGTGCTGTGTAACACGTGAGCAATCAAGTGAGAATGTTGGAACAAAAACTTTATCAGGAATTAGGTATTAAAATTCTTTTTTTTTAATGAGTATACCGGTGATTTTGAATGAATGATGTGATGAACAGAAAGATCTCCTATGAATTGAATACAATGTGAAAGGAACTTAGTAGATATCAACCCGTACAAGAATGAAACTGAAGATGAGCTGGTGAGATTTCACTCTGTGATATAGTCTAATGATATTTTCGTGGAACATCAGGTAATGCTCTCATAGCAAATTGATCTTCTCGTGAGAAAGAAGAACTCGACAAATCAGTTTCCGCATAAGGATATCGACGAACTGGGACCTTAAAAAAATATGATTAGAACTGTCTAGCTGAGATATGGAGGAAACAAACTTGAAAAGCATTGATACTCTCCATACTTCCACCAACCCATCGTCCTTTTCGAACCAATATAACTGTATAGCCAATAGATGTAATGGCAGAAGCTAAGATGAAAAGACATCCGATCAAACAAATATAGAAAGAGTATCCTTTGTGTTTCTTGAAAAACGGAGGTAAATTTGATTTGATTCTCTATGTTTACCTCATAAATTCCACTAACAGACACATAGTAGAAACGATATTCAACCATATGAGAGAAAATAGCAAATGCCAGAACGCATCCTATTCCCATAAAAGCTTAAAAGGAATGTTTGTGAACGATTTTCCACTTTTTTTGTCCACCTGAGATTGTGATGAAAACGTTATAAGCAATGCTTGTTTTCAAATGAACTGTTTGAGTATTTGATATACAGAATGTGATGAAAGATAGAAGAGCCAACACCTGCGAAACGAGCAAAAGATGGAGTAAGGTCCGCTGCCAACCTGTAAGAAAGGAAATCTTAACTATTTCTTCGACACATTGAATAACTCACGGAAAAAGGTTGGAGTTCGAAAGTTTATGTTATCTGCTGATGTGTAGAAGCTATAGTCTGTTTCTGAGAATTGATATGTGCAGGTGTACATTCCGGCTGGTCTAAAACCAAGTGATTAGAGCATTCTTGCTGAGTTGTGGAATGTATTAGAGCAGTTACAATGAGATGAAAAAAAGTAAATCACCTTGTTAGACAACTCAACCATAAACCACTTTGAATCCATTGCTGTAGTTCGCGAGCATAAACTACTTGCCAGGCAGGGGTGCCGAGGGCAACAAAAATGAGGATGAAGCCTATCAGGGCTAGAACAAACGAGGGGATTTGCAAATACACTCTTGCCGATGTCATGGCTGAAACATAAAATAAAGAAGAGTTAAGAGTCGTGACCAAATAAGTAAAAAGAAAAATAATTTCTGTGCTCGTGAGCGAATTGAAGAGGAGAAGAAGATAGTTTTGATGTAAAAATATATAAATTGCTGTAACGATTGTTGTATAGAACAATTTGAATTTGAACAAATAGATATTTTAAAAAAATATGAAAAAATTGGAGCAAAGTTTTAAGTAAACAAGAAAGGTTTTTCACCAATGATGGTTTTCATGATTTGCATAAAAGGAAATCTGGTCTTTCACTCAATTTCTATGACCAAGTAGCTACTTTAATCTGTAATAAATATGAAAAAGCTTTTGTTCAAATATCTTTATTGCCTTATTCGGCTCTTTCAATACATTTTGAGGATCAGTAGCTAGGTATTCTGAGTACCAAACATGTGACTTTCAACGCTACTTTTCTTCTAAGAAACAAAGAGAGATGGAGAGGAGAATAGATAGATGGATTGATCGAATAGGAGAGAGTGCCAGAGAAACTAACAGGTTTGGCCATGGACCTGTGGGTTACAAGACGAAAAGGACATATACAGAAGGGCCGTTTCCTCATGGAATGGGCAAACTGCAGAGGAATGACCTCAATCGAAATCCTTCCGCTCACACTTTGGGCCGAGGATAAGAAAAACGTGAATAACAAATTTATATTTAAATGCAAGTAATTTTTATTAACTCAAACAATTTTCATGAAAGAAAGAGACGCCAATTGAGAGTTGTCAGACAGGTGGACGGTGCAGAACAGAAGAGAAAGTGGAAGAGGTAGTATGGAGGAGAGCAAAGGTAATTATGACGGCGAGAATACCACAAAGCAGATCGATCGAAAGCAATTGACCATCAATGGCGAAACAACATTTTGACAAAACGAACGGTGTTAAGTATGAGAGAGAAGACACATGTTTTGAACAGCCTTTTGTAAAAGATCATTTACCAAATTTTTTTGAAAAAGCATTTTCAACAGTGTGAGCGATGACAGCGGTTGTGCACAGCTTCGCAAGTGTACTACAATACGTTCGTAGAGTAATTTCTGGAGAAAGTCAAAGAAGCTCCAGAAAATCACCGTAAAAACAATTTTATTTCCATATTTTCAAGTATAGGTTCTGTTTTAAGCAAAAATTCGAGAAAAAGTTTGAATAACGAAAGCTCAAGAGATAGAAGCCAACACTGTTGCGCTGGGGATGTACAGAGTGAAAGTAAAAGAACATCTTATGAGTCCGAAGAAGAAGAAGAATATGAAGAAGACTCTGGAAGCGTGTTCGAAGAAACCGATGAATATTATGAGCGTTGTTCGGAAGAGAGTTCTTCCTCGTTGAGTTCAACCGATACCATGTTCGGTATTTCATCTTTGCCCTACACACATTCCGAAGAAAGTGTGGAATGCTATCTTCAAACTCGTAAACGGCAGCGAAGTAACTTCCATCTTGTTATTTTAATCGTTGATTAAGGATATTTCAGAAGAATTTCTCAAGAGAAGATGCTTGAAGGACCCCAAGTTTCGTGAGAGATGTTTAGTTAGTTCAACGATTATGTTAGCAAGATGCTATAATACATTTGATTCAGAGGGTTAGAGTAGTACGAAGATTACAAATTCGTCCTGTTAGCCTGATGTACGCTGCTGCAATTCAAAAAAAAGTTTGTTCTGGCTTACAGAAAATATTTCCATTATCAATTCTCACAGGCAATTTACAACAATCGGTACCCTGGAGAAGATATGAGCGCATATGAATCTTGGACATGGTCGGAATGAAACAAATTGTTAAATAATAAGAAGTATTATTGAGAATAAAAAAGTTTAACTCAAAACATAATCTCAAAAACGGTTTGAATAGCAAAAGAGTCTTAAAGTGAGAAACGAACTGACTGCAGTGGTTGTTGTCATCGGTATTATATTGGAGATCGATCGATATGCATCTAGTGTGTCCTTGACGGAGAAGTAATAACAGAGTGAATACGTAAAGGAGTGCGAAATCATGGAGAAACAGTAAAAAAGGAAAAGAAAGAGAAGATGCGAAGAAGTATCCATTCTATCGTTGTTGATCTACATCCCCCTTCATCCTCCACAGTCCCACTACCCCCACCCTAAAATCCGATCCCCCCCGTAGATGACTATCAGAAGTCATTCAACCACAAAAAAGAAAAAAGTTGCGAATGAAGTATCAAAACATGAATATAGTTTTTAAATTGTTGTTGACAGCATTGGTCAATTCATCTAGTGTTCGCAAAACGGTGTTATTCAGTGAAAACTATAAGCCAATAAAAGGACATACTGCTTAATCCTTTAATCTCTGTGACCATTGAGATGTCTATTACTTTCTTTCATGAATTGAAAAATGGGATATCATGACAGTAATTATACCATATAAGTGTATCACTCTTGACGTTATTGTCTTTCACGAGATTTTCCGGAAGTAAGCAAGAATACCATCATACACCTACACATGTGCAACTGTGTGGCTTTCCTGATACTGTCCTTGACGTTAGCTCATAACGGACCAGCCTCATCTAATTGAATAAATAAACGATTATTCGATGGTCATGTCCATTTATGCAAATATTACATATTAACCGACAGATAAAAAACCAGTAGACTAGCATAGGTTCAAGTATCCTACTTAGTCTTTATTATTACAGATGTTTTTCTGAGAATTAGCTTTGACTTAATTTAGCCGCCTCAATGAAATGTTTATTCGACGTCATTCATAAGTATTAGCATATTATGCAAATTACGTAAACAACTTTATTAAAAATGAAATGCAACCGCTCTGTACGAACAACAATACAAAGAAAAATAAACTTTTGACCATCATCTACGTCACTTCATTCACGTGTATTGTTATGATTTTGACGTAGATTTGACGTAAAATCAGATGGCGTGGCAGATTTGCGTGAGTTGATCAATATGATTTTTTTCTTTCAAGAAGATAAGACGTCTTTGAAGATGTCTTTTATAAGTAGAGATGAACTACAGATACTATCCTCCCTCATTTATTATTTTAGGTTATGAGTTACAGACTCTCTTTCGTGTATCCCAAACGAACTTATAAAAAAAAGTATCTCCATCTGTTATTTCATAAATTCATTTTGACGATGTTTGAACTTACCTTTAAGTGGCTTCTGATGAATGATGGGCTTGAAAAGGAAGAAATGAAGACCGTGGATGTGTGGATTCATAAACAATTCATCTGGAGAGATCATTGCGTGTTTCCTTTGACAGAAAACCCAGCAACGGAACGAATCCGAATGAGGCAAAAGCTTCTCTGAAACGAATGCGGAAAAGAAATGTGAAAGTATAAGGATAATTTTGGAAAGACTCTATTCATTATGAATAAAGATCAGATCATCAAAACAGAAATATTTGTCTAATTAGCCAATTTTCTTGTGATACTCCGTCACCGGTAATCTTCGTTCTGTCTATCGTACGCCACTCTTTCTCATTTTTGCTTATCCCTACTCTCTTATCCTCATTTACTTCATTATATGAGAATGGCTGTGTGGAAACAATTTATAAAATACAAATAGGAGGTAACAGATGGGTAAAACGTTTGATTGTCAGCAAAACGAAAGTTACCATCCCAATTAGCTACTTGGCCATCTATAATCCCTAATGCTCTATTATAGTCAAGTAAGTTATACGAATGACGTCATACTTATAGTTTAAGGACAAGATAAGTGAGTGACAGATATGAATAAAATAACACAGGTGACTTTAAGTTATGCAATCATAATATAATTAACTTAAATATGTCTATTGTGATGATCTTTGAAAAAAAAACTCTAGAGCTGGTGTCCCAGCTCTATCTATCCTATTGAGTCGTATCATGAGCTGAAAAGAGATTTTTGATAACTGAGATCTGAGGTTTTTAAAAAAACAAGTTCTTCTATTGGAATAGATACTTGCTTTCTACTTATTGTGAGCGGTGATGAGTAAGAAAATAAATGCCATAGAATAAACTTGCTCTTCTCACGCTCCTAATTTGAAGCAGAATGTTATCTGAGAAATATCAGGAGCACGTTTATTTAAGCATCTCATATCTCATATGTCATCTCATAATCTCATCAGCAGTTCAAATTTGTCTCAGGTCATCTGAATTGACTTCTCAGCTAACTGTCATATGTGGGTTTTGCTTCTTATCTCATCTCAGCATCTTGTTTTCCCATGCAATTAAAGGAGCTTCATTTGAGATCGTCTGTTAACACATTTTGTTACCTTTCAGTTTTTCGAACACACTATAATCAAAAAATTTTAGGTGAGAGTTCCTTTTATTTTCCTGGAAGGAAAATATTTCAAGAAGATTGTCTTCTAATGCCAAACTAATAATTTATTCAATATGACTGGATATGATCGTCTGAATACCTGAGACCATAAGATGTGCTTGAGGATGATTCGTCTCCCATATGTGGAGCCAACTGGATGAGTACATCTGTTGCTAAAATTTAAGGTAGAAGAGTGACAGCGTGAATTTGGTGCTTGAACGGAAACGAGAGAGAGAGAGAGAATGAATAAAGAAGGATGGAGAAAAGAGTGTAAGAGTAACACCATATGAGGAAGAGAATGATAGAGAAAAACAGAATTGATTGCGTGTTCATAAAGTCTTCTAAACGACACATGTAAAAACTGACCAGAAAAGTCGTCAAATCAACAGATGATCATATTATTTAACAGGTTGATGATGGAAATTTCAATGATTTATTAGAATCATCTGGATGTGTTCCGTGAAAGCTTCTTCCTCTTCATCCGTCTTAAGCTTCTTCAAACAATTTGCTTTTGTCTTATTACTAACGAATTGCGCGAAAAGTGAAGCAATCTGTCATTGTTCACAGCCTGTTAACCTCGTTGTAATCGTATAAGGATGGTATCGAATTCAAGTACTTCTTCATGATCTGAATCCCCTCTATCTCTTCTTCTCTCCATCATCATCATCTTCTGAATTCTTTAGTCATTTTCCTCTTAAGTGAATCATCTTACTTGACCATCGTCATATCAACAACCAATTGGCAGATGACTCGCACATGACTCTCCACCCCTTCCCCAAACTCATTGCTCAGCAGCAGTTCAGAAATAAACATTAACTTCTTCTCATAAATTTAACGAATGAAGAATGTCTTACTTCTGCGAAGGTTTGGAGAAAAGAAAGAAACTGTCTTACTCTGAATACCGTACTCTACATTGGACATACTTAGGCTCTGTTGAGTTAAAAAAATCCTTCTAAATGGGGAGCGTATAAAAGGCGTAACTCTCCTTCCATTCGGAGAGACGCAAGTCCTTTCCAATTGTAAACCAACTCGCATACTGTACAGAGTTCCTAAAGCATATAGCAAATGACTTATATTCTTCGTATGCAATAGAATTCTATATGAAACAAAGCTTTCATCACCCCTTCCTTCCTTTATCTCGTTTGAAAATGAAAGCATCGAAAATTCTAACTATGAAGGGAAAAGGGAAGACATTCCTCTTCAGCGGTGAGTCTACTAGTGTCTTCTTCATCATCTTTTTCTTTATCGTTGTCGTCTCAAAGCCGTCTGTCACTCCAGATACACACGCATATCCATTAATTATGCTCTAATCGAGTGCCCATGAGCTGCTGCCAACAACGGAAAGTCATGGCTTCAGCCCATCTGAAGACGACGATAGTCTTCATATGAACCGAATAGAAACGAGAATTATAATAATACAATAATAACAAAATAGAAAGAAGAAGAAAAAAAATGAATTCTCTTTCTGGATAAAAGTATTGCTCATTGACGAAATGAAGAGGGGACGTGACGGACGTGTGAAATTTCACAAAAATCTTGCTAGCAGTCAATAGGAGAAAATGGTGCCCATATTTGGGTATGTGCGAGACAATGGATTAGCTGAGAAGGAAGTTTAACGCCTTCTCAAATAGCATAAATGAATTTGATAAAGCACGAATAAGGAATATCTTTTCACTCTAAAGAAAAACACATAACATCGCGTGTAATGGCAAGGTTGATCGACAAAAAATATTTTGAAAATCATCGTTCATCAGCCGTGCCAAAGTAAACTTCCCTGAGTTCAAGTTGTACTTCTACGCTCCCCTTTTTTTTCTCTTTTTCACTCGTCCTTCACATCTCTATATCTCAATCTTCCTGCTCCTCTCTCTCTCCCTCTCTGTCTTACCTGCTTTTTGTTTTTCAGAATTTTCAACTTTATTCTGAGAGAAGATTCGGACTTGATGTTTCCATTCATCAACTTGCAGCTTCATTTCAATTACCGTATGGCTATGAATGGAATAAGTTCAAATCAGCGTCACCTGGCTCATCTACAAAGCTTCTTTTGTCTTTTCTTCAAAATTCTCTTCTAGTATACGGTAACCTCATTTTGATCAAAGCAACATCTCTTCTTACAGCTGGTCCTCTTATTTCTTTTTTTCCAACAATCCTGATGTTCAGCTAGCAAGATGATCTTATATGGACATGTTGGCTAACAAAGTAAACACCCAAGATCTCTTTGATGTTTTACCTCTTAGTTCAGAAGCTTCCTATTCACCCCCTCCTATCTCTCTTTCTCTCTTTTTCCATCGTCTCTCCACCCTCCTCCTTTCATCATTTCCTTCAAAATTCATTCAATCTCTTCCTGATTTTCTAGAATATCTTTTCACCTGATCTTCTCCACAATCCATTTATTTCTAACTTCATATTCTTCCTCCACATCCATATTTAGTTGTCTTCCATATCTTGAAGCCAGATGAGCACCAGAGATGAGCCTGCATGCAACTAAGCTCCGCCCACTTCAAAGGTTACGGTAGCAGCATTTCTCCCAGCAACTCCTCCGTCCACCCACCGACAGATCCTTCGGCAGTTCATTCGTGTTACATCCGGTCTCAAGTCCTGTGCATATCTTTTTGCTCCTTTCATTTTGACACTATCATTCGACCCTCTCCTTTTCTCTTTTTCCTATTGTTGCGGCTAATAAGCTAAGTAGATTATCCATTTTTTTCTGATTGTTTCCAAATTTCTAATTGGAGCTTCAATAGATTGAAATTTATTTTCCTTACCTCTTTCTTCAGAAATTTTCAAGAGTCCCTTCTGTGCTACGATTGCAAATGAAAAGCCTCTCTTGCAACTCAAATTTGCCCATAAAAAGCTGCGCATCCATAATTTTTTTGATTAGAAAGTCTCATCTCTCATATTTCTCTTCAAGTTATGACTATCATTCATTCATAGTTCATCCGCTCTTTTACTGTTTCTCCTTTTAATATGAAGACTCCGTAGTAAACGAGAAGCATTTTTATTGACCATAAAAAGCTTCGGACAACTACCCTCAGCACCTTTTTTTTCCTTCTCCCTCAAGCTTCATCCCCCTTCTCATTCCTTCTCATTCCAAATTTTCATTTCTTAAGTTCGAGCTTGCATTTTTCTTTTACTCTCCGCTGAAACGTTACCTTTTGAGAAGTAAGGCATTCATCTAGCCATATTAAAGGAATAATAAGGAAAATTTTATTTTATATTCAGTTTTTCTATTCATTTCACGTACTTTAGCACTTAGCTCTACCTTGCCTTGCCCTTCACTTTTAATTTTTTCTTTGCTTTTCTTGTCATCATGAAGTCCTATCATTATAGAAAATCTTTTTCTTTCTTTTCTTTACCGAAATAGATGAGCAAATGAACGGCTTTCCTCTCTATTCCCATTAGGCTTTTCATTTTTGACAAACATTTCCATAATTGGAACCAAAAATGGCATTTAATTTTAGAAAAGCAGCTCCTTTCTTTAAATAAACTTCACATTCCTATAATTCAAATGATTAATTTTATTATTTTTCATCATTTTAATCATTTATTTATCTCCTTTTCTTCTTTCACTTTTTTTGTATTCGAAGATGATAATTGAATTTTGGCGTTTTTTTTCAGTTTTTCACAATGTCTGTCAAGACTCGGCAATGCTTCCTCATAGATTCACTTTTGGAAAAGCCTGAAGATACGACAAAAGATGATACTATGGAGCTTCTTAAAAGGTAAAACGAATTATGAGAGCTGTTCACATATACTGAACAGTATGTCTTCATTACTGTTCATTCAGTTCGTTTGAACAGTTGGAAAAAAATAAAAATTCTTGTCGACTTCGTAGATGTACCTGCGTAGAAGATAAAGAAGAAGAAGTAGCTTTTATGGTCATAACAAAAGCAAAAAAGCTTTGAATATCGAACACCTTTGAATTGTTCTTGGCTTTATGAAGTCGTAACTTGCTTTGGATGGCATTTAAAACAAATTTTTGAACAAATGAAAAGCTTGTTGAGCTTTAAAGCTGAACGCTCAAGACCAACTTAAATATTTTTACTTTCTTCATTCTTCTTTTTTTGTCACCTCTTTTTGAAAACTTCGTTCTTGAGTTATGATCTATCCTCCTTTTAACTCGTTTCCTTTCTTTTATCTTATTTCTTTTTAAGCTGCCAGCTTTTATTTGTCTGCCATGTCGCCAAAATATTTTTCTATTCGTTTGCCTTGACACTTCGTTCAAAGCAGACCGTCTTCTTCAATAATAGGGAATACTTTCATTTTCTCACTTTTCTATCTCCTCTTTCTTTTTCTCTCTATTCCTTTCACTCTTCTTTCTTTCGTCTCTTTCAATTTCTCTTGTCATTTTCCTTGGATTCTCTCATTCTCCTCCCTCTAAAGGATACTGTAAATTATGGAAAAAAAGGGTTCGGAACATCATTACACCAACAAAACTTCAGAAGGTGAAAAAACACACGGAAGCCGTGTCTTTCTTAACTTTCGACAAAAACCATTTTGATCTATATCCATCTTCGAGTACTATTTCTACTGAAAATCAAACCGAATCATTTCAGATCTCCGTCCACAAGCATACCAGTTGACTGCTCATCACCATCACAAGAGGTTGACGAAGATAAAGACGAAGAAAAACCATCCCGATTATCCCAATTAATAAGCAGCATGATGGAACAAGAAGCACAAGAAGCAGCAGCTACAGCTGAGAGATCTCGCCCCAATCCGCCGTCTATCGAACCGTCTTTATTGGTAATTTAACAGAGCTATAATTCTTAAACTAAGATACTCTGAGACATAGTGATTACGTTTGAAATTTCCACGTATGATTCTCACGTGCTCAGTACAATAATTTCATTTGTAAGAAATTTCTAGCTAGAGAGCGGTCGCATTCATCCGAAAGGTTTCATTTTCTCTGAAATGAGTCAGCTGAAAAGAAACAAAAAGATTTCATTACTTACACTTGTTATATGAATTTAATGATTTATTTGTCAATGTCAGCACGTTTCATCACATGAAAAGCCATTTTGGGAAAGCTTTAAGATACTTTTTTGATATATTCGAATGATGAATAAAAAGACATTTTTAATAAGAACATGCTGAACGAAAATAATAATTTGAATGTTTTTAGAGACCTCCTCTTCCATTTACAAATCCAATCGAATATTTGTCAAAGCTACATCTGATGCAACAAGCTTTCAATCTGTCAAGTATGTCAGCCCTGGCTGTACGCCAGCAATTCTCTCAGCCTATTCTGCCTCCACTCATTCGCAAAGGTTCATTATATTACATTTTTTTGTTTTTACAACAATGCTTTGACTCATTAGATGCCATATTTAATCGCCCCTTGCCATTTCTGCGAACAGGCCGATCATCAGAGGCGACAACGTCACGAGCTAATATCAAAAAGTACAGATGCGATGTCTGTGATAAAACATTCAGTCGAAGCAATACTTTAATAACACATAAGGTACGAAATTTTGTTTTTTTCACTTCCTAGAGTAAGAGAGATTGTAATGCTGTGGGGGGGGGAGGTCATGTTAGAAGTGTTAGTTTGAAATTCGCTTTCACTGTGTTTCAGTGGGGATGCTCAATCTTTTCTCGCCTTTCTTCTTGTTTCGCAAATTATTTCTAAATACCAAATGAGGATAACCGTTGCCTGGGGCAATGAAAGAACTGAAAATATTCTTTCTCTCTATCTCTCTCAATTTTGGTCAAGGATGAGCTACACCAGTTCATTAGCTACACTCACCTTTCATTCATTAATTTGCGATGAGTCGTATGTCTCTCAACAGTGAACATCCTAAAGCATTCTTTTCATTTAAAGAATTAAATATTCAAAAGCTCTTAGTTTCGCCTCTCATTCCGCACTTTGACGCTTTTCAAACAATTTCTAAACATTTCCCCTCATCTTCCTCTTCCTTTCTCTCTCGACCCTCTCTTGCTCTCTTTTTCTTTTTTCCTCTGAAATGTTGAATAATCTTAGCTTCATTTCAGCGAATTCATACCGGGGAAAAACCATTTAAATGTGATCATTGTGGGCGAGCATTCCGTCAACCAGGAAACTTAACAAGGCATCGCCTCACCCACACAACGGTAACGTCCATTCATGCATCATTCAAACTTAATGTATTCTTCATATTACAGGTCAAACCATATGTTTGTGCTCATTGTGACAAAGCTTTTAATCGAGCATCTAATCTCCATACCCATATGCGAACTCATGTTGGTAAATAGGTAGAATTCAATCAGAACGCATAAAACCCAGCCAACAGCATCTCAAATAGTCTTCTCAATCCTGTCCGTCAAAATTTTCCTCACTTTTCTACTTCTATCTTGTTTTACTTTTTTTATTTTGTAAAAAAAAAATTCAAATTTTTAAAAAAATAAATTCATTTAATTGAACAAAAACATAATGAACCCGGAATCACATTGGAGCTTAGAATAAGAAATTATGGAAAATAACAAGAAAAATCTTCTGAAAATCCATTCGCAGAACAGACAGATACATCAGAATAGATTGGATAAGATATGACTAGAAAATTTACAGAAAAATTTCACCTTTTCTTTCCATAATAGGAATTTTGAGATGATGAATCAATCAACACCTAATCTTTTTCAAAAAAAGCATTATTGATTGATTTAAGTTCATATTTCTTTCCGAAATTCAATGAGATAAGTTAGTTTTGAGTTTTTGAATAGAATAGTATGGTTTTTTGTTATTTTATAATGAATGAAAGAGAGAAAGAGAGAGAGAGAGAGAGAGTGAGTGAGTGATAGGAACGGCTACAAACATCTCTGATGATTTCAGTTTATGCAAAGATCGAACGGAATACTAAACTGCACAGAGGTCTGATCCATAAAGTGTAATGGAAATAATAAAGTCCCATCCAGAACAACTGAAATTCACAAAAATATTATTCTACTCAATTTTTTCCTTCTTAGTACCTGAGAAATAAGCATGGTCATTTGAGGAACAACAACTGGTTTACTATCTCCTGGGAATTTTCCGGTACGATAGAAATCTTTCAACAACTTGTCCTAATGCAGTCATAACAGTTAATGAGACAAGTGAAATTTTCTTACTTTTATTTCATAGCGTTCATAGAGGAATTTCTTGAGTTTCTCTTCATCAGCCCATTCTGGATTCACCGGAATAACATCATAATGAATAGAGATGTGACTGGAGTCCGCATTTGTCCATTCGCCCATCATAGCACTAGCTGAAACAATATTTTTTTTGATTTTGCAATTCATTTCCAACATACAAATGTCAGGTACTTCTCCATGTGGATATCCAAGAGTAGCATCTATGATATACTCAACTGGAGGTCCTCCACCGCATCTGGCTATACCAGGATTTTCTGAAACAAAAAATAATAAAAAGCTAAAGCTAAAAAAATTACCGGCTGAAGGAGCCATTACGTCAAGAACCGCATGAGCAGCCCCGATGCGAGGGTGAGCACAATGCTCTAGGGGCTTCAAACCATTTTTCTCAGCAAATCGCTTAGCACTTTCAGTAATTAGGAACAGTCGAGAACCTATACGAAAGATACATTTATTGGAAAGCAAAATTATTTGATTTACCCTCTGGGTACATGACAACCCATCCGTAATTGTGTTTCATGAAGTATTTCTCCAAATGTTTCTTGAAATTTTGTAGAAGCGCATCTCTGCAGAATAAAACATAACTCAATCAATCAATTCTCTTCAAAGGACATTCATTTGTTATCATTTTTGAGTGAAAACAACAAGTGAACGGTTGCATTCCGAAATTTCGCTCAGGATGAACAAAAAAGAAAAAAAAAAGAAGCAGAGATCGGTGTGCAAGAATGAAAAATAAAAATTTGTTTAGTTATAAACAAACCTTTTAGAAGCACCACCATTAACAAAAAAATTTCCGTGTGCTGTCCACATAAGTCCAAGAGGTGTATATTTCCATATATTATATATAACCCACAACCACTGAAAGGAGGAAGCATAAAAATGAATTTTTCTCGTTTAACATACTCTTCCTGGAACTGATCCCTTATCATGTAAGCTTTGCATGACAACGAAGTGATCTAGTAAGCCCATATGATTTGCCAAATATAAACATTTCTTCTCAGATATTTTATATAAATCTTTTCCATATTCAATAACTGAAAATGGATCAATACATTCATCATTTGGTTTGTCATTACTGTTTTACCATTTAAGCCGGAGTAAACAGAACCAGCAACCCAATGATCATTTACAAAACGACATAAACGGTTTTCTAATTTACTGAATAAAGGCATACTGCAAAAACAATCATATTTAATATTATTATATTATTACACATTTTACCTTATCCAGGTGAGTGGCAACAACAATGCGACCGTTGAAACACATGCAATCGGCACAATGAATGCTGTCATAAGAAGGAAGTATGTGGCTCCTTAATTATATAAACATATTATTTTTGTATAAATATAAGACTTGTAAGAACCTAAGAATGTCATCATTTTGCGGATATCTGTTGATTGTGGCTCTTCTGCTGCTCCACTGAGCTTTGTGACAGTAGCCACTTGCTCACCGCCAGGAGTCTCAATTAGGCTTCCCCCTAGCATCTGAAACAGTTCAAAAAATGAAAAAAGTATCATATATATGAAGAGGGAAAAAGAGCAAAAGATCAGGTAATGCAAAGAGATAGCAGATAGATTGAATGATCTAAAGGGAGTTCTATTTGACAAAACATTTTAAAGAACGATCGGAAATAAACTGATTGAGAATGATAACAAATTTGTTATCAAATCTGGACTTTCTTATAATGGGTACGCAGAAACATCAAAGCATCCATTAAGACTTTCCATTTTTATTGAAAATTCAAATATTAAATGAATTATCAAACAGCTGTTGCGAAAGACTAGAAAGAAATGAAAACGAACAACCCTTCAAGATAATACAGAACATAAAGAAAAAAAATAGTTTATCAAAGCGTGGTGTGATCAGTTGAGGATATGAGATGATATCGATTGGATGAACTTTGCTCCTCCGAATAGAGAGAGAAAGAGAGAGAAAGGGCTTGAGGGAGGGTTAGGCAACGGGAGGAGTAAACGAGTTGTTTATTGAAAACGGATGAATGAATAGGAATATGTAATTCCTAATTAGAAACTTATTTCGATATGAGAGAAAATAAATAGCGAAACACATGCAGAGAGTAAAAAAGAAAAAATGTATAGAAATAGAGTCAAAATGTTTTTCAAGTTCAAATACCACTTGGTGAAGACGAGGTAAGATTAAAAAAGAACAAGAAATAAACAAATGTAACCAAGTTTTAAACAAGTAAATGTCGCCAATGGCATAAACGTTGCCAATTTTTGTTTGCACAATTGAATTTTGTGAGAAAAAATTTTTGGAAAAAGAAAATGGAAGAACGTGTATGAGACATATCAATCAGTCTAGAGCACGTAGTGGAGTTGGTTGGTTGGTTTCACGAGAGTCGCAAATGGAGAGAGTGAGAGAAACGGGGAGTAATGACAAAAGATAAGAAAATTCAGAGAACAAACGATAATTGACAAGTTTGGTTTCGAGTGAAATGAACGAGAAGGTTTTCCGTGATATATGTGAAAATATAAAAGCTGTAATGATGTTTGATATACGATGAATTGAATATAATTAGAATAAAACCATATTAGGCTATCTCTAATGTATGGAAAATACAGAAGAGATGAGAAAAGAGTTCATGAAGAGCATCCGGCCCGATGAGCAGATGTTACGGTCACAACAACAATTGCTAATAAGAGAGGAAAGAAGTAAAATTAAGAGAGAGCGAGTAAAAAAGAGAGAAAGAGGGAGAGAGAATGCACAGAGAGGTAATAGTTAAAAGACGGAACTAGAAGAGAAAAAAGAATAAAAAATTCAAAAAGAAACATGTTGCCTCGAGACGATTATACCATCAAGAGAACTAGAGAAAATCATGAAAACAGAAAGAAAAATTAAAAATGAGGAAATACGAAATGAGAATGAAAACGAAATCAATGCTAATCGTTGAAATTTACAAGAAAGAAAAAATTGCAAAAAAAATATGCGTTGTGAGCTGTCTACTCTTCTAAAATGTCCTTGTGTGGGGACAATCTGAGAACAACAAAAATGAGATGAAATGGCCAAAGAGCGAAAACACGACCGCTCACTGCGTACGCAATGCCATGCAATGATATTTTCACGTGAAAAACGTTACGTATAAACGCCATTATAATCGCTTCGAAAGTTATTTGAATATAAAAATGAAAGTGAAACGAAATTGTTTGTCATAAAATAAGAAAATATGACTCATCATCGTCAACCTCGCAAAAGATTTTTGTTGAGAGAGTAAGGATGCGAGAGAGATGTCACATACTGAATGATTCAAACGACAAATCACAAAGACAGAACATAAGAGCAATGAATTTAAGATAGAACATTGAACTGTTTTGCAAGTTATATTGAGAACTATTACGTTAACAAGGATTTTCTGTTTGATGTCTAAGCGTATTTCTGGAAAAGTTGGATGATGACGGACATTTGGAAATGTGATATTCTCAAACTTCTTTCTCTTTTTTCATCGTTGCTCTCTCTCTCTTTCTCCATCTCTCATCTCTCTCATATAATCATACTGTTTCTAATTCTCTTTTTATTATTTCTTTCTCTCTTTATCCTTTTCTAAAGGATGTCTGAAATAAAAAAGATAATTTGAATTGAAAAACAAGATTCAAACTTTAGCAAGAAATAAGGATTCACCATCAATTCTTTATATATTAGAAACTTTTTTAAACCAAAAAAGAAAAAATATATATATTCTATTCTGTCCTACTTGAACTATCACAGATATATGAATGATCGTTCGACGTTGCGACAGGACATTCGACCAGATTTATCGTCATTCAGCCTTTTTCTGTCTCTGTCGCTAATGTTGCTGATTCTATTCTCCTCATGCTCCCCCCTCCCTTTTTCCTCGCCGTTCCATCCTCTTCCTTCTCTTGTAACCTATCGAATGCGCGTAAAAATCGCTCTTTCCTCTCCTCTAATGTCCATTCATACAAAAACCACCATTTTACAGCAAAAATTACATAAAATGTGCTGAATTGAGAAGAGATCTGTTTGACTTTATTTAACAACCGCAAAGGAAAAAAATCAACAAACAGGTTGACTGGGCAGGGCATCTTCTCGGAAACATGTATTGTCAGTGACGTTGACTGATCAACAATGGGAAAAAGGTTGAAAGAACAGTGAAAAAGGAGAGAAAGAGGCAAAAGGGAAGCAGAGAGAGAATAGAAGAAGTAAGGGAATATAACGAAATGGCTATCAGCTAACAACCTTTTGGTTAAAAACGTGCATCGGAATCAAATGAAAAAAGGAAAACTAATTTCAGAATCAGAATTAATCAGACTTAGTTTGTTAATCAAGTTTTTGTACCGAATAAACAAAAAGAAAGAAACTTAAAAGTTGCCGGCACAAGGTTACTGAACAAAATGAAACTGAAGAAGATGAAGAAAAAAAAAAGAATTTTCACATCAATCAGTAGAAAAAAAAAGAAGTGTTGTTGTTGTTATAAACTAGCGTATAGTTAGTGAACAGCTTAACTATACGTTGAGGATTGACGCTGATGAAATGAGAATAGAATACAACGAATTGTTCAAATTAGTATGTTGATGAAGATGATCTGATTATTGGCATAGCTTCTCACATACATACATATCTATCTTGGCTTCATGTGTATTTTCTGATTAAAACAGATAAGATGTTATTTTGAAATATAAAAATACATTTGAATATTAAATTTGTAACTGATAAAATAGTGTGATTGAAAAAAAACTTTGCAAATGATAAGAAACTTGACACATTGCAAAACGAAGATGAACAAGTAGAAGAAGAAGACAGAGAAGATGAAGAATAAGAAGAAGAAGATGAAGATGAAATAAAAAAAAAGATGTGACACAACCCAAAATCTGCTTCGTTTCAATGGACTCGAAGAAGAAACGAAGGAAATGGTCGACTGATGGTTGGTGAGATTGATGTTCAGACAGCTGTTAAGGAAGCCTGAGATGTGGCAAAAGAAATAGAGAGAGACAGATAAAGAGGATAGATTGGCAGTTAGAAGGACAGAAAGAGAGAGGGAAACAAAAAAAAACAGAGGATGAAAGAAGAGAGAGACATAGTCGTGGAAGAGTCAATTTATAGTAATAATAGCCTTGTAGATTGTTCCACATAGAACGAAAGCAAAAAAAAAACAACGTCAACTGAGCTATTTATACAGAAGAGGCAGAGAGAAAGCTTCTATCGGTTATCCCAAGAAAAGTTTGTTTTTTGTTTGAAAAAAACAACATAAAAGTTCAGAAGAAGTTCAAATGAGGATAGACTGACACACAGACACAGACACACACAGAGTCACGGAAATATTGGAGCAGTTTTAACTTCAAATGTTTAAGCAAATAAATTGATACAAAAAAAAAGAAGAAAAATCAAAAATTGAATCACAAAATCAAAAGGAAATTATAAAATTAATGGTAAAGCAAATAAACGAAATCCTCTCAACATCATCAACATCGTAACACCGGCAGCACAGCTTCATCTCGCCTATACGCGAAAGTGAATGTTTTTTTTTTTTTTTTTCGTTAGGCTTTTTCCTATTTTATTTATCAAAAAATATGTGAAGAAAATAAAAGAAATATTTCTAAGAAAGAAATGTTGTCATGGAAGGTTTGGATTTTTCTTTGCATAAACAAAAGAACTTCGAAACCATGGAGATTACAAGGCCATAGAAGGTTGGAAAATAAAAATTTTTTCTGCTCGAATGAAACACAAATGAAATTAAATTGTTGAAATGAAAAAAAATGAAAAAAAAAGAAAGCAAAAGCAAAACAATGAAAAAGACAACACACAACCGCTCTCTGCTGTTTGATAATTGAAAAATGAATTTTGGTAGAGAACACAGGAGTTTTACGCATGCGCACGTAGATGGATAGTGCTCACAGTATGCCGAACATGAATGCACACATAGCCATACTAAGCTAAAAGCATGGTGTGAAGAGACAACAACTGCCTATCTAATTATGCAAATTGATAAAAAGGCCAAAATGTGGAATAGATGAAGCTGTTCAACAAATAATAAAAATGGGTAAAGTCTTTGACAAACATTGGCTTTTCAAAGTGTTTTTACTTTCTCTCTCTATTTCTCTTTCTCTTCCTCTCTCTCTCTATTCTTCCTTCTTTTTTTTAACCAATTTTTTGAAGAGTTTTATTCATCTGTTTGTCGTACAATTAGCATTTTCCGAAGTAAATTAGTGTGAAAAGATGAAGTTAAGAGTCTTGTTTTAGACAAAAGGAAGTCGTTTGTTCTCCTTTTTTGGCAAATAAACCAGATTGAGATTAACTATCCATTAAAATGTTTTTATTTTAATTTTTCAATCAAGTATTTTCTACCTTTTTTTCTCTCAATTCCCTCTCTTTCATACTTCTCCTTCTGCTGCTACTGCTAGGATGGTATTATCCATTTTCAATCTCTCTCTATCTCTTTCTTTCTCTCTGTGTTGTTTCTCTCGTCAATTTAACAGGTAATTAAGCAATCTTTCTTCATGGCTTTCTTACTCATTTCTTTAATTTCTCTATTTTTATTTGTGTCAATATCCATATTTGTATGTTTAGCTATAAAAACTTCATTTCACACCCTTTATATCCTACCCCCCACTATCCATTCTCTCCTTCTCTTCTCTCTCTTTCTGTCTTTCATTCAACGATTTTCCCACTGAAATTCCACATTAACTCAAGAAACTGAGCCTCACTACTTCAGTTCTGCCAACTTGGATTTTAATTCCATCTCGACCATGTTGCCATCGGGAACGCAGTGAGATAAGTTGAAAACAAACAATATTGTTTAGACATCCGTTTTCAATTTTAAGTTGAAAACTGCTGTTGTCAAACGTTCTCATAAACAGATGAATGCGTACTGGTGGAGATATAGAGAGAGAATGAAACTGGTAGAGACATAAAGAGACAAAAAAGAGAGAAACGTAGAGAATAGTGTGAAGAGAGTGAGGTGGAGTGGGCGAGTAAGAAAGGTATAAAGAGATATGTATGTGAAAATCAGCAAAAAAGAAAATGAGACACAGTGAAAATTAAATTTATGAAAAAGAGAAATTGGTGATAAAGAAACTTGCACAGAGTTGAAAAGGAAAGTTCTTTACGAGTAAACTGGAAATGAAAATAAATCCTTTCGTAAATCTTCTGAATTAGTCAGAATTATATGTAAATGGCATTTATCGGATGAAAATTTTGGTGATGAGGATAGTCTAAAGAGCGTATGGAAATGTAGTAAAGCTTGATATGGAAATATAAAAGATGGAAGAAAATGATATGCCCTGAGGCAAAGAACCAAAAAAGAAAAAAAAAGAACGAAAGCAAATTACAAGAAGGAAGAAATAAAAGCTAAATGTCTAGAAGTGTTTACCAATCATATTCCTAAAGAGGCAAGAGAACAAACAATTGTAGAAACAGCTTATGAGTATGAAGAAAAAAAAGAATTCATAATGTGCCTTCTCATCACAAATCAAGCTCAGATTGAAATTTCTTTTCTCCTTCTCACCAACAACTCGAGCGAAAACACGCTTCCATTTTGAGAAGAAGCTTTAGTTGTGACGGCTTAAGTTCATTCATCTGTAAAAAATTTGAATGACAAGCTTTAAAATCTGGAAAGATTACAGGTCGAGTTTTTGGAAATGTATGCTTCAGAAGAACTTAGTATGTTCTTTTCTCTCTAGATGAAGAAAAAAACTGTCGACAAAACAACAATTTCAAAGAAGCATTCAGAAGAATGGGATTTGGCTTACGTTTGCCTTTTGAAAATATAAGAGAATGGGATGAGCAAGAAAATTTTAATTTATTCCTTCAAAAATATTGTTTGAGTTCGACGGAGGCTCAACAAGAACTGCTTCAGGCTATTCAATAAAATTTTGCAGAAGATAGTCAAGCTTGGAAAATAGAATTGAGTGAAAACTTAAAAGGTAAATGAGCATTTTCGTTGTACCTTGTGGAATAGAGAAAGGATGGAAGAGAAGCTGCTGAGAGTTAGAGACATACAAGTTGTTTAAAGCTCAACAGACTACGAGAAGCTGACGAAAGAGGAAGCAGATGATAGAGAAGCAGGGTAAGAATTTTACCAAAACATAAAAGTGAAAGGAGAGACTCAGAAATAAAAGAACTAAAGAGAGTAAGTTAAAATAGAGAGAGAGCATGCAAAAGATAATGAAAAATACAGAGAACTACTGAAAAAGTGAGGGTGGAGAGGGAAACCCTGAAGGATTTCGAAATGAGTTGGGCTGTGAAATCTTGAAGAATGGAAGTAACGAAATTGAGGATGTCCTATAAGAGAGCAGAAACTTAGAGATAATTTAAATGGCTTTGTTATGAAAAGAGAGAGCAAAATGAAAGAGAGAAGGTGAAACAGAGGGTGGAACAGAGGATAGCTTTGAAAGGCTTTCATAGCTGAGGTATGAAGCTTATATATGCTCGATTTTCATGGTTGGCTTGAGAAAAAAAGTCTTTATTGAAGTCAACAGCTTGAAGAAAATAAAATTGAAATTCGAGAATAATTTCCTTAATATTGCCATCAATAAAGAATAGAAAGAGTCTATCACAGTAAGAGCGGGGAAGAGACAAAGAGAGAGAGAATAAAAACTTTTCCAAAATATAATTAGAATAAGGAAGAAGAGGGAGAGAGGGAGAGAGACGGAATGTGAGAGAAAGTAAGAGAAATATGGAAAAAACAGATAAACAGAAAAAGGTTATTTCGTGATAACACCGGCTGTGTCCGTGTTGACATTTGCATAAATTCCTTCTTTAAAATTGGCTGGCGTGTCCAGTAAATCCGCAATGATTCTCTTCTGTTTCAGAAAATCAAAGACGGCTCGTTCATGAAGACTGAATTGAAGACCACGTGGATCACCTTAATTATAAAATATTTTGTAATTATTATAATATCAGCTGCGATAAATAGCACCTTTACGGAGAGCATAGAAGACAGGTGCTGATACAAAGAACGTATGAACACGACCACTTAACTCAGGAGCACTTACAGCTAAAGCTCGATCAAATCGTGCTATTCCTAAATGAAAGTATAATTATACTTTTCAATTTATAATTTTTGATGTTTTAATGAAACCTTTATCAACAAATCTCTGCTTCAACAAATCACAAACTGGAATTTCGTCACTTCGACTTCTGGCTGATAGCTTTTTATCACTTTTTGAGGACAAAAATACAACAGAAGCATTACGTCTGAAAGTATATATGTTATTCAAATATTGGTACATGACTTTCTAATTGATGTACTACTATCACTTGTAATATCATTATTGTGACGTGAAATCACGTGATGTCGATTTACACGTAAGAAAATTTAATTTAGAAAAATAAATGGATGTGAAACGGTTGCTAATGAAATTGATTGTTGAAGCTTTACACAATCAGCTTACCTATGAGCAATTTTTGAAAATGATAAATCCTGATCAGAGGGTATACCATTAATGAGCACAAATATGGCTGTGAATGTAGAAAAGTTATTACGACTGCAATTACATTAACCATATACAGTTCTCTACATCATGTTCTTACTCAATAAATTCGAAATAAGAATTAATTTTCTTGGGATAATGCAATTCCCATAATGTAACATTGTATTTGAGTAACTCATCCTCAAACTCAAAACGTTCACAGTTTCCAGCTTTCGATCTTGTCTGAATACATTATATGATGTAACTTGATTGCTCATTCTTTTTTTCTCTACCTTTCCAGCTGCTAATGGATGTCTTGATGTCATACCTCGCAGAGCATTGATAATTGCCGATTTTCCGACACCGCTACCACCGATAAACCCATAATTAAATGCTGTCTATAACATATTATGATGAAAAATTATTTTTTTTGTTTTGTTGTTTACTTTTCCTGCTCTTCGGACTGTTGTCTGTGGCTCCATATTTCCGAAGACGCGATCATCGGTTCCATACAATATTTCAAATCCGGCATCGACAAGTGTTGTTGACTTCTATGTAATGAAAAAAAAATTGAATATTCTTCGCCTTTCTCCCTCCCTCTCCCTCTCTCAAAAATTTTTTATGTGAATTCCTCCTTTTTTTTCTCTGTTCCTTACAATCTTTTACCTCTGGAGCTTTCACCAGACCAATTGGTGAAGAAGAAGGAGCAAATGAAGACGATTTATAGATATTATCCGGCTGTAATGTAACGTCATTATTTATAGAAAAATATAATAAATATAATCACTCTTCTAGCTATATAGATATCAGTTTCCTCGTAATGAGATGATGAAGATGATAGATCTTCTTTCTGAAAATAGAAGTAACTGATATAGAACTGAAACGTTCACATACTTCTCTTCTTCGTTTCTGTTCAAGTGAAAAGTGACACGATGGTCTTAACTTGACTTCTCTTATCAAATCCATCTCATCCATTTTATAATGAAGATAACTATAAGACAATGTTTGTTTTAGTATACTGTACTTTTTCTTGTTTCGTTATCTTACTCTGTAGTTCCGCACAGAATATTCTGAATGACAGGACTGGATATGAAAATCATATCGATATCTCGCAATACTTGGCCGCGTTGAATCACATTTCTTACAAAGACAGAGCGAGCTGAGAAACAATAAGTACATGTTGGAAAAAAATGTTCAGCTTTCCTACCTCTCGTTTCATACTCTTTCTTCAGTTTATCATCGATCTGCCGATTTTGTTCTCTTCCCTCCGCATCTAAGTCTTCGTCCGTTTTGGCAAAAATGAAAGTTATTGGAGTTCGTCTGATTAAGCAATATTTCAAAGTCCAAATGAAGTGAGACAAAACCTTGAGTGAACGATTCTTGTAAAGGAAATGTCATCGTTGCTCGGAGATCCATCAGGAATCATTACGAAAATGTGATTGAATAGATGAAGTTTGTGAGTTCTTGAAAGATAAAATTATTTTGTTGATTAAATGGCCATTGATGAGAAGGAAAACAAGAAAAGCCAAATACTACTTACTCGTACATCTTGTCGAAACTCATATTACGATCATAAACATCAACTACGTTGTTTGTGAAAGATGGATATGGAATTTCCCACAGGACAACTGTAAGAAACTCAGCTTGAGCAAATCTGTAGAATCAACGATTTTGCTAGATTTAAATTTGTTTTCAATATTTTACTTAAATGGTTCCATTGTCGTTGATGAGGTCTTTCCAGCTGCTTGAAGTTCTCCTTTTTCCATTCCACGCAAAGCATTGATGATGCCTGACTTTCCAGAATTTTTTCTTCCAAAAAATCCAATGTTTATCCGATTCTTGAAATCAAGAAGAATGTTTTTGATAACAGAAAGAAGATTAAGTTACTGATTCAACAGGATGGGTTGTTCGTTGGAATGTTTGACCACTTTTGAATGTGAAATCCGTTACAGGGTTATAAACAGGGTAGTTATCCAGCTAGTGTAATGAATTAGAGCTTCAACTTATTATGATTCTTTTGATACCTTTTTGACTGCAGCTGGTGTGGAGGCACTGATTGGAGGAGGAGGAGGGGTTTTCGCCGAGTTAAAAGGCTTAAATCGAGAATTCTGTTCCGGGATTTCGCCATTGCTCTGTTTAACAGAATAATACTTAGAAGTTTGGTCGGTAGGTGTTGTATAGCCATTCTCTTTTTTCCGATCAGTTGTATTCAAAGCTTCGAATTGAGCTATTTTATCCTGAAATCAGAGAAGAGCTAGTGATTAGTTCAAAAAATAAAACTACTTTTGCATAAATAATATTTCTTTTGATAGTGGGTAAGCCAGTGCGAGGAGTTGGGACAGGAACTGCAGTCTCTGTCAATTTTGGGAACGGTGACGGCTGAAAGATAAAAGTTAAACACTAAGATACAATAGTTGTAAGTAGACTGGTGCAGATGATTTAAATATATAAATTAAACAGTACATGTGCCGGAGGTTCATCATCCTCGACTGGAGGAGGTGGTGGTGGTCTATCTGGTGGTCTATCAAGCGGTGGGGTTCCAGCTAAAATTGCCGTCTCAGCAGAAGCTAAGTCCATCGAACTATAAAAGGCAAAAAAAAGCAAAATAAATAGATTGTATGGAATCAAAACCTTATGTGCAAAGGAGTGGGAGGAGGTGCTCTGTGAGGTGGTTGTTCAGGATAGTAATAACTAGAACGGAATATAAAGCATTCGAAAAGGAAATGTGCTACTGATGGGAAGAGAATAGAGATGGATGCAAAAAGATAGGGAAACAAGTTAAACTTACTTGGCTGTCGGTGAAGGTGGTGGAGCAAAAGGTTTAGGACTCTCGGGACTGTTTAAGGGCGTCGGCTTGGTTATGACGATATTCGGAAGAGGATTCGGATTCGTAGAAAAGGCCACGTGATCCGTCACCCGGCCTTTCGATGACTTACTTCCCATTTGAATAACTAAAACGGTCAATAACAAAAAGAAGTGAAGTTAAAGCGAACGACCAACAAGGAGAGAAAAAAAAAGAGCAAAAAGTAAACAAAAGTAAGATTTATGGAGATGTCTTATAGGATGGATTAGAAATGACGGAGAAATGTGTGATTGGAGAGATTAAGCTAAGCTTTATCTCTTCTTTTTTCCTTCATTTATGAAAGAAATATTGAGGTGTCATAGCCAAGAGTATCATTTGCCAAATAAGGACTGAAGTCTGAATCTCAACTTTTATTGATTTCAAATGAAATTTCTAGATTTTCAGGTTTCAAATTATGCTAAGCCTTTCAGTTGACGTATTATTATTCAATTTTTGAAACTTAGGGTTTTGATGGTTTTTCCAACTCTCGAATATCTCTTACTCATCATCTACTCAGAGAGAAGAGACAGAGAGACGTGAAGAGATTCAGAAATAATGAGAGATTAAGAGAGAAAATGATTTCAATTACGAATCATTTATGTAAAAATGGTATGAAATAGCTCTTATAAGAGTTCTCTTCATCTCGTTTTCACTATCTCTCTCTCCCTCCATATTTCACCTTCATGTCTATCTAACTATCTTTCTGCTAACTGAGGAGGGGGGAGGAAGGTTTTCTACTCTTCAGATATCTTTCAACATATACAAATATATACACATATACACATATAAGAGAACAATCACAAATTATATCTTAATATGAAAATATCTTAGAAATCTCTCTTCAATACGCTTTTACTAAGGATGAAATGATAACGAAAACATTTTTTTATGATCATATTAACTATGAGCTACCTTGAACAGTGTTCAAGAAGCATAATTCTACTCAGAAATTTTTTTTTGGCCTAGTAATGTGATAAGCTTCTCTGCTAATCTCTTCATTCTAAGAAATGTATTATTCTTTTTCATATAAAACGAAAATGAGGCTAATTAGAATAAAAGTGACGTAAACGTGTCACGTCAATACTTATAATCAGAATTAAGTCATATGTACATGCGAACTTTGAATAGAACGGTTGTGGATAAAAAATAAACAAAGAAATTTTTATTATCATTTCAATTCAATAAGATACAAGGAGAATATGAAAAATTCTGTGTTACATCATATTCAGCTTATTGAACATGATCGTGATTTGATTAATTTGACTTCACTTTTTTCCGTCAAACCATCATGTAGCTCTGTATATCCATCAATGGTGTTTATATTTTCATCTGAAAATAGAAGAGATTAAATGAATTCCGTTTAGCAGAGAACAGAATAACTGAAACTTCTCCTCATCGCACATCTTACCTCGTTTCTTTTGTATTATTTCCCAAATAGACTTTTTTAAACTTTTCTGAAGGAAATATGTGTTCATTTCGCCTTTTCCTTTGATTTGAACTTTGCCACGTAGCTCAAATTCGAATCTTCCACTTTGACCTGCACATCTTCAAAATAATTTGAATTCGTTTTCTTAAGATAATTCATTGAAATAATCTTACTCAACAGCTTTTTCGCTACAATGAATTTTTCCTATGGGGCTATGACTTTCCATTCGAGAGGCTGTATTGACTGTGTCGCCGAACAAGCAGTATCTTTAACATATTCCATTTTTAATGTTTCAATAATAGATTTAATATTTTATATTCAGCTCTATATTTTGATTTGCAATTACCTTGGCATTTTAGCTCCCACAACGCCAGCGACAACTGGTCCTGAATGGATTCCGGCGCGGATTTGCAATGGCTCGCCTGTGATCGGATTTTGAACGCTTAAGGCTTCCATTAACATTCCTTCAATATATATATATTCTTGTTGGGATGGAAGTGACTAACACAAACCCAATGCTAAATGGCAAATTATTGCACAATGACTGTCAGATTGTTCAGGAACTCCTCCTACAGACATATAACTGTCTCCAACTGTTTCAACCTTATAAGCGTTCTGAATAACAACCAAACGATCGAAACGTGTGAACAGGTTGTTGAGTAACAGAACGACATCTTTTGGTTGGGAATATGGAACGATTTGTTGGAATACAGGTACATCCGAGAACATAACTGTTGCTTCTGCATATTCTTCTGCAATGAATGAAAAACTTCACTAATGTTTCTACTTCAACGACAAACTAGCATCAACAGTTTGTCCGCTCTTCAACTGATTCGCGACAGTAGGAGGAAGCATTTCACTAAGCAAAGCATCAGTCTTTCCTTTCTCAACCTGTAATTCGGATTAAGATTTAATATAAAAGTTGAGAGGTGGAACCTCCAAATCCTTCGCCATCATTTCCAACTGTTCATTACTCGCTTCAAGTTGCATACTTCAAAGTAAAAATGTTAAAGACCATTATAGGTTGAAACAACTTCATTTCCACATCAGATAGTCGCTGTTGGTTGAGTAGAATCAAATCTCTAGTAGTATCGTGCAGAGGGATGGCAGTCAGACGCATTCCAAATTGTAATAATTCGGGAATGGATGTAACGTATGGAGAACATAAGTAAATTATATGCTGTCCTTAAAAGCTTAGGTTATTGAACAACAAGCTTCAAACTCTGTAACCTGTTGACATTAAAAACATTTGTCCTTTCAGTTTGAGATGCTGACTTTGAGTTAATACATTGTCGTTCGTAGTACTGTGTTCGCTGTCCGATACAGACCTGAGGAAACATTCATAGATCACAAACATTTATGAACGCATACCCGATTGTTTCTGTCTGGCTGTTACGTTTAGTTTTCAGAAACTCCATTGGTGTTGTTTTCACTTGTAGAACGAAAACAGCGTTAATGAAATTGCAAATCGTCTCAAAATCCAAAGGAATCTGTGGTCTGGTGACTTCGAAAACTCTAATTAATAAAGTTCCTGGTGCTAATAAATCTTTTGGGATATGATTGCTTAAAAAATAACATAAGTTGTAAAAATTTGGATTATGGTGTTTACTATAGTTCATTTCCAACTTGGACCAGCTTGCAATCTTGATCAATCACAAAGTGATATGGGAAGGTTTGTATGAAATCATCACTGGTCAAGCGTATATTGTAATCATTCGAGCCGGATATTACAATCTTCTTTGAACTAAAAGCTTCAACATCTTTTTCTCCATCACCCTTAACAGTCTTAAAGCTAATAATGTGTGCTGTAATATCAATAAGTACAACCTTTATCTCAAACACGACATGTTCTTCTATCCTCTCACCAGTTGCCATCTGAACAGACCGCTGAGTTCTTCCAGTGATTGTCAAGGAAACATCAATTTTGAATACTCGTTTTGCAGCTTCTCGTATAACTCCTTGAATCATTCGTTGCTCATTTAAACTCACGATTGAAGCAGTATAGTAAACAAACCTTTTACTATAGGGTATAATCCAGGTCTTCCAGTATAATAATGTAAAGTTATATTTCCTTCTTTATTTTCCTCGCATCGAAAAGATGGACCTCGCAAGTTTGCTTTATAAACTACGTGATCAATGAAATAATGAAGAGAATCCAAGTTATCCAAAAAACCCTATAAATTCAAAACATTTTCAAGAATATTGATTTTTTGAAGGCAAATATTCCATGCGTGGTTCACGTTTTAACTTACGTGAAAACATGTTCAAGTTCATTTTCATTTACGCATGAAGATTGATCGAGAACGGTTGTTTCATTTATATTATCTGATTTACCTTCAAATTAGGGCTCATAGATCTGATTAAATCATCCCAACCAATTTCCATAGTATATTCGATGAGAAAAGCTCCATACATTTCCCATACCTGTTCTTTTGGCATTTCTAAAAGATATTATAATAATAACTTTTGTTATTTCTTATCAATTTTTAAAAAAATAAATGAATAAAACCTACTGGAAACAACACTGACAGCATCAATTAGTAGATAGGTATCACTATCAGAATAGTAATGATTTACAATATTCTCTTTTCCAGCTTCAAATCCAGCTCGAACTCTATAATTATTATTTTAAACTATTAATAGATACAAAGGAACTTCTTACAAAACTTTTGACCAAAATTCTTCTCCATACTTTCGAATCATAAGCTGTCGAATACTTTCGTGAATGAAACCAAACTGTCAATGAATATACTATATAAATATACACATATATACTTTATATATATATAATATATATATATATATATATATATATATATATATATAAAGTAATAAAGAAAAACTGACCATGATGTTGGATGTGAGGGCACACGAAGGAAATGAAGATGAGGTAGGAAGGTTTCGCGTTTTCTCAGATAAATAATGATGAATAAATAAAAGACATGCGATGAAGCTTCTATGAAGCTCTTTAACTATATGTCATTCACCTTATATTGAATATTTGAGGGTTCATCATTAGACATCTGCCGAGAACATGTCTATCTATCTATATTTCTCTTTTTCTCTCACAATTTGGTTTTTTTCTATTTCATACCTATATTTTCGATATCCTGCTCTCTCTTACGCTATCTCTTTCTCCTTATTGAGTCTCCTCTATTCCTCTCAATCTCTTATTCTCTATCATCCTTCAAAACTCATAAATTTCTATAAAAGATCATTGGGATCTTTGCGTTTAAATGTTAAGAGTAACATTCATACAATAGATATTACATTCCTTCCTCTTCTGACATCTTCATTTTTTTCTTATTCTCTATAAATGGCCTAGGGGAAGAATGTTTTTTTTCGTCCTCACAGGTAAATTATTGGCCATTGAAGTGGATGAAACAGACAAGGGGAAAGTCCTTGGGAAATGAGTTCTCTTGCGTCATGTCTATAATAGAAAGTTATTGAATTATCCATTCTGCAAATCCTCCATTCACCTCTTCTCACTAATTATATTCCGATCAGACTTCTATTCAAAAAGAGGATTACAATGAATGTTTAGAGATCTTTTGAGGTAGAGAAAAAGAAAAGAACCAATAAACGAAGATGAACTGTATGATTGAACGAAGAATAGTATGAATCACAGAACTGCAATGGTCTATGAAAAGTACATGAGTAGTTGAGTTGAAAACTTAAAATTACAAATTATTCACAATACGAGGTAATTGTTTCTCATTAGTAAGAATTTTTCCTTTCTTTGCATCAAGTTGCAAATTGCAACAAGTATAACTATTCTTCCGACGTCAACTCTTATGTTTATTTATGTGACAGTGAAGCTTCAAGTGAGCCAACGTGACAATGCCATTTTCTTTATGAAATATGCTGGACAGTCATCATAAACTTCTAAAAGACAAGTTTCAACCCACGTCTCAGCTTCTTCATCTGGCTTTCCAGCTTTTTATATCTAACAATAGAAAAAAATCAAGATGGAACATCTTGTTGTACTTTCTTCAGTCTGCACTTAATTTCGTCGTCTCTAACCGCATTTCTTGTTTATGATCATTTTTTTGAAACTTCCAGAATGAAACTATACTTTTCTGTTATTTTACTCATAATAAGTGTCTTTCACGCTATCAATGGTTTCACATGTGATTTGGGACCGTCTGATATCATATTTCTTGTAAAAGCATCCCATCTCTTGGATAGAGAAGCATTTTTGAATATTAAAGAGTTTCTCAAGAGGTTTTCCAATGGTTTAAGCTTGGGCAGATCGTCAGAGGTGAATATAGCTGCAGCTTTGTCTAAATATTGCTCGTGTTTTCTTTCAGAATACTCAAACATCAATCATCTTTTTTGATAATATCAATGAGCCTGTGGTCAAAGTTGAGTTTTCAGCTTATGCTAGGTTCAGTGACTTAAGTTTTGCTATCGATAATCTCAAAAAGCTTCCTTGTGGAACTTCATGGTGTAAAGAGAAATACAATGGAAATCAAAACGTAAGGGTATAGCTGTTGAACGAACATAACCCTCTTAAGGCGCTTGAGTTCGCATTGCAACAGTTCCCTTCTACGCCTGGACGAATGAAAAAAGTTGTGATCATCCAGAAAGGACAAACATATTCGGAAGATATATATTACCAACGAATGCAAACAGATAAAGATCATAACTTGAAAATTCTTGAAATTTCTGTTCGCCACGGTGAGGTTTGAAGTTGAAATACTTATATAACACGAAATGGTTTGAGGTGTGATGACTTATGACAGAGATAATTATAATTATTACGCAAGCTACAACGACAACTATAAAAGGTAGCAAAATTGTAGAGAATTAACATTTTCTTTGTTTCAGATACATGTCCAGATATGCCCAACTTTATCCAAATGTATCTATTCCTCAGCCTGCTTTACCAAGTGCTCCAGACTATGGAACTCAAGCTGAAGAGGGCCGAATAATCATTTCCGAGTAAAGCATTTTGTTGGCTGTAATTTTATATTTTTATTCTTTCAGTAGCTTGGACGTCCTGAAGTTAAAAGAACTAATTTGTGATCAAATATTTTCATGTCCGGTTTGCGCTTCGGAAGAGTTCAATTTCGAAGTTTCGGATCAAACCGCAAGTCCAACATTATCCGAGATTCCTAAGGAGTTTGAAAAGCCAGATGTATGTTTTAAAAGTTATAAAAGTATATTCGTGTTTCTTGGCAGCTGACTTCAAGTACACAATCTGAACAAAACAAACATCAACATTCAGACGATTATGAATATGAGATAGTTGCAAATCCTCCAGGAAGTTTGTTAAGTATAACTGACCAGAGATATGAGACTTTTTCAGTGAAAATCAACATGAATCCAGCCAAAGATGTGGTTGACATGATGCGAACAACAGTCTCGACATCAGAGTACGAATATGAAGACGAAAGCGTCGAAAAAGAAACATCAGAAGATCAAAAACAAGTCATTGAAAACTCTTCTGATTTGGGAAAAAGGAAGAAACGGCAAACTTACTATGGTACTCGGAAACAAAGCGATTGCACCTGCTCAGTAGTAAGTCGAACAATATAAAACATCTACGTTAGCGTATACTTGTAACACATGCACATGTAAAATATTTTTCCTCTCAGAGGAAACTTTTTTACTATCATCATTTTTGCATGATTTCAGGCGGCACCCCGGCAACAAGCACAAGCAAGTCCTTATCTCCCAGTGTATACCAATCCGTATAACGGCTATCACACATCATTGTACTCTACACCTTGTAATGCTTTTTATCCATGCATGCAGCCAACAGGATGCTTTGCCCCGTTCTATTCAAATTGTGCTCGACCCTTTTATCGACCATTTTATTATGGTCCGATTTATCAGCAGCCAAGCTACGTTTACCCTCCTTCTCAGGTTTCTCAGGTGCTCATTGACGAGCTATTGGAAAAAGTTGATAGCTCTTTTCAGGTTCAGATAGCACCTGCAATACAAAACGTTGTCAGCCAAGAAGTTTTGAATTCGGAAAGTAATGACCAAAGCTTTAACCTCAATGACGGTACAGCAAACGGATTAGGCAAGAAGGATACAAACGATTTCCTATTCTCGGAGAGCACGGTGGAAGATGATCCAGATAATCAGAAAACTTTGAGAAGAAGTCGGTTTCCCATGTGGTTAAGAGAATTAGGAATGAAACTTTCAGTTGGAAGTATTGATCCCGTTTTGCCTGATTTGTTGAAACCGAAAGCAGTAACCCTGAATCAACTGTTATCACCTATTTCTTCAACTTCCAATACCTTTCTCACTCATGGAATTCAATTAAATTCAAGGAAACGAGCAGACGAGGATGGAACTCAAAAGCGCGATCTGGAGGCGGCTTTAGCTAAAATTCCAGACTTGACCTCAAAAGTTAAAAAGCCTGATGGAGGTTAGACTACGGATGGTTAATGAAACATGATCGGTAATTTCAGGAAGTTCTCTAACACATTTAGACGGCTTAAAATCTCGCAGAAAACGCAGTTATGGACTTTTTGTGACACCGTGGTATACTATTAAGTAAAATCTGAGTTGAATACTAGACTTATAGGAGCTCAGGTGTATCAGATTCCGCACATGCTCATCGACGTGTTCATGGAGTTTCTACTTACCTTATCAACCAGAATGACAAAATGAACTGCACAATACGAGGTTTTACATTGCTTCTCACCTTTCCGAATAGAATCCTGTTGTTTAAGGAACGGATATAGTGCTCTATGTAGACGATGTCAATGCAATGTCACTGGGTTCATTTGAGCTCGTGAAGTCTACCATCTCTAACTTGTATTCTTTGATTGAAAATAATGCTAACACTTGTAACCAGGTACATATTTATTTTGTTCTTGAAAAATATAGGAACTAATTTTTTGAGGTTTCGAGGTTATGCTTAATGAAAACAGTGCCTTCCGAAGAAGTTAAGACAGTTCTGAATTTTCCTGTTTCAATCACATCGAAGTATGAGAATGATTTCCTCATCCGGAGTTTATCATATGGAGGCTGTGATGTGCGTAGGCTTCAATGCGAGAACACACTGGCTAACGTATGTTTTCCTAAATTCTTTCTCAAATCTTCTGTATTGGAAAAAAGCCTGAAAGAAAAAAAATAGATGACTTTTCGACAAACAATTTCCAATCGCTTCTGTACTGGCTGATTTAAGGCTGTTGTCATAGGCAGCAACCTGCTGACCATCGAAAATAACGATAGAGAGAAGATCCTTGTTTTAATTTCGTCGAGGAGTATGAATGAAATCAAAACCATCAGCACACAATTAGTTCAAGCTCAAGAGTTTGCTAAGAAAAACAATGTTAATGTTATTCATGTATCCCCAGAAAATGGTAAGCCTCAGCTTATTTCTTTGAAAGTCAGTTTGAGAGTATACTTTCCAGGTTCCAGAGGAGTTTTTTCACCCACACTACGATTAAAATCGTTGATTTCAACTGTTTGTTCTTTGTCACCGAAGATGGACAGTCTTAGAAGTAAATCTACGTACTGTCCTTGGTCATAACTCACACTCTATATATGGCATGTTCTCTGCGTGTTGTCGTTTGTTTGTATCACTTTGTTCATATATAAATAGAATAATCTTCAAATAAATTACCTTTTAAAAATGGCTAAGAGTAATAGGAAAGGAACGAATGTTTGCTGTTTGGCAATTTATAAACAGGGGTGTGAATGACAGTAGTCTAGAACATAACTGCCATATATGATGAATGTAGTTGATGGTTCAATCTCGTCGGGTGATGACACTTTATCCCTGTCTTAAGAAATCATGTAGATAATGGTAATGCTGACGGCGCTTATTTTTCGAAAAAAAATTATATTTTAATTTTCAGTATATCATAGTTATAATAAAATTATTATAAAAACCCATTTGAAAAATTCTTTCTGAATCAAAAAACCCAGGTGATTAGTTGCTTCTTCCCACTCTTTTCAGTTTTCTCCGAAATAATTAACTGTAGGAAAAACAAGCAAAAATGTTTGCGTAGAACAATTGATCGGAGGTTTTCATGAAACAATAGTGTGGAACAAAATTGCCATCTGTGGTAAATAGAGTTGATGGTTCAATCTCGTCGGATGATGACACTTTATCCCTGTCTTAAGAAATCATGTAGATAATGGTAATGCTGACGGCGCAATCTTTTCCAAAAAACATATATTCTACATTTTAGTATATCATAGTTATAATAAAATTAATATAAAAATCACATTCGAAAAATTCTTTTTCCTACTTGATTATTTCCACTCTGTTCAGTTTTCTTGGTGTAATTTTTATGTACGAAAAACAGGGAAAAATCTTCCTGTCCAACAATTGATTCAGAAATCTAATGTGAGAATGGTGTATGGCCAAGATGTCAGTCTCTGTAAATGTAGTTGTTGGTTCGATCGCGTCGTGTGATGACACTTTATCCCTGTCTTAAGAAATCATGTAGATATTGGTAATGCTGACGGCGTTTCTTTTGTTCTGATCGGAAAAAATACTTTTTCAGTTTTAAGGTTATCGCAACTCATCACTAAGTGATACCCAATGTATAAATCGCCAACCAAGAAACAAATACTCAGTACTTTTATGCCGCTTATTACTCAACAAGCTGCATCTCTACTTGTTGATCGAATAAAGAGCTTTTTTCAGAACATAAGATCTGAAACAGATCAAAGGGACGATAAGCAAATAAGCTGTAAGGAACAGTCGAAAAAAAATGAATGCAAAACGATATGTGAGATCATGGAAAGTACTCCGACTTGTTGCTACAGATAGAAAACTGCAGAAATACTATTTCTCTGTCGCTTTCGAATTTTTCGCTCTTACTGATTTGTCGTATTCTTTGATCAAACCACGAAAAAGTTGTGTTCGACTGTTATATGCAAGACGAATCAAATTATTGCTTCCAACGCGATACAATGTGATCGATCTCGCAAATGTTTCATGAACTGCAAGATGAACACACTAATGTAGATTAGGAGAAAAATCCCAAGTAACAATGAACACCGGACCTTGAAAAAAAGAGATTGAAAATGAAAATGAATAAATTAAATTGTTAACCACAGTATTTTGTGTAGCGATTGTTGGTCTGGTTTCATTCGACTACGAGTATATGGTTAGCGGTTGTTCATGATAACTCTTCAAGCATAACATTTAAAATGTTGGTTGGTTGCAAAATGCTTTTCAAAGAACAGGCTTAGTGATACAAGAGCAACAAGATAAAAATGGTGCATTCGAGATGAGCAAAGAACAAGCCGAGATTGAAGAAATCGGATCTCCCCAGGTCTAAACAGTTCTTCTCTACTTTTCAAAATCATAGTTCGAAAATGTAAACTTTCCACCGAAGCAGGGTTATGATCCAGAACGTGGAAAAGAATGTTAGATATATGAATTCATTATGAAAATCGAATAGAGGTTCAGTGGAGATCTTGTTCAGTCCATACATAAGAATGAGTGATAGGCGATAACCTTACTTAACACGCTGTTTGCCAAAGTTGGTACAATATGAAATAAAGATTTCCAAATTGAGGACTAAACTTCTGTTTGTGTACAACAATTGTTTCTGATTCATTCTTGGAACATACATATAACCCGTCATAGCAGTTAAATATAAATACATTAGTACAATGAAGTTAAAACTTTCGATCAAATCGGTGTCTGCGTAGTTCCGTAGTCCATCCGGCGAACTCAACAATATGCAAAATGTCGGAAACTTCAATGTTATCAGTTGATAAAAAAGTGAGATCCTGAACATAAGTGTCATGTGATCTTCTATTTGATACACCTACAGTTATTGAAGAAACTAAGAGGGAAATGGAGGCTATACGTAATGCCACTTCAGCTTCAGTTCTTCCATTCGTTCCAGTTTCAGAGAGTAGTGCGATGTACTTGTCTCGAGCTTGGTTTAAGATTCGAAGAGAAGAAGAGTTGATGAAGGGCACATCTGAAGCAACTTAAGGATAAACTTCATAGTTTCTTCTGTATTGCATGTCTTACAGTCGGCAAATATAACGAACACAGCTCCGACCATTATTTCTTCTTGAGATAAATTGAGCATTTTCAAAGGAGCAGCCAGAGTCTCAAGAGATTTCTGCGTCACACCACTAATGTTACATGTATTACAAGGATTCGAAAAGGAAGCTTACGTGTTATCTGGGAAACCCTGTTCAGATTTGTTGGCAGAGTGATATGTTCCGTTCGAGTAACAGACTCCATTACACCCTGCTTTTACTGTCCAATTTGTACAAAGCCACCAGTAAAAAGCAGCGAACCTAGACTTTGCCACTGTCATCTGAACAGGAAAACATCAAGTTGAACTTTGCTAAGATGATACTCACCCTGTCTTCTTCATTAAGTTGATGGAAATCTGGTAGACTATTGAGAATATCAGAAAACAGTACAAAACATCTATTGAAGTCATTAAGCACATCTTTGATTGTTGCTGGTCTTTCACCAGTAGGATTAATCTATGAAAATAGAATAATCAGCAAAGTCATGTGATCAGTCTCACTTTTGTTCTCTGAGATACAAGATGTGGATTATAGAAGGCCACTTTGAAAGGATACGAAACATTACTAGGAAATTCTCTCGTATCATCTGTACGTGCAAAAATATCTCGGAGATTTTGTATGAAATCCTCGAGATTCTAAAAAAAACAACGTGAAAACGAAAGGGAACTTTCCTCACTCTATAACTCTTGATGTCACTGCTCCGAGAGGAGTTATCGAACAGAAGATCCTCAGTTTGACAATCAACATCTCTGAAATCAAATGTCTAAAACATAATATTAAAGAACATCTAACTTACATTGTATTTACAACCTCTTCTTCTCCATCATCACTAAGAAAAGCGGGAATGGAAACAGAATTATTGAGCTCATCTCCCGTTTCGCTCTGAACCGCTCGAGGGTTCATTCCTACACGTAGACAAACAGTTAAACGACATGATCGACATGTGTTTCTTTGTTCTCAACAAATCAGGAATTAATTTTTGAAGGAACAAGGAGGAGATACCTTTTTCGATCGGACAACTCCCTCCAAATCTACATGCATACGTTCGATTCTTCCATATGCTTCGTCGGAAAAAACCTTTACAACCATTACAAGCATTAACCCCATAATGTTTTCCTAAAGCCTGCAATTGATGACTAAATCAATGAGTCTACCGATCAAATCACATACCACGTCTCCACACACTGCACAGTACAATTGCGCTTTTCTTTTCTTATGGTTTATTACAGTTCCATGATCACTGGGGGATACTGAAGTCGAAAGAACAGCATCTTCGCTGCTCATAGGAGAATCCTAGAAAATAGCGAAATCCACAAGAACCTATAACAGAGACATTATAAAACAAAAACCAGAGAAGTTTTGATCGAAATATTGAATCATGGTAGAGAAATGAAACTTGATAATAATGTACACAAAGAACCTGCCTTCAGCAATGGAAAGAGTCTTATATAGCTCGTAGCTTTGGTAATAATAATCAATGGGACAGAGAGAAATCTTTTAATTGGTTGCCTAGGAACTGCGAATTCGTTTGAGAAAACTGCTACAGACCAGAGACTGAATTTGGAATTTGAGAGAACGAAGAGAGAATTGATTTTGAAAGATCAATAGCGAAAGAATGAGCAGAAATGTGTTCCTTATCAGGAGTATAACGAGAGTGCAATTGACAACACTCCGTGTCCACATTAGTAGAGAAAATGAGAAAAGCAGAAGGGAGGAGAAAAGAAAGAAAAGAAGGACTCAGGCTGCATAAATTTGACGACGATTAAAACTTTTGTTTGATCAACGCTCAATGCATTATGGGAGCGCGTATTCTGTCTTCTTTTTAACGAAATTACAAAGCCGCGTTTTCTTTAAACTTTTAAACTATTAAAAACATGAAAAGCAATGATAAAACGTTTCATAATTATATCCAATTTCCAAATAGATTAACAAAGAATGTCATTTAACATAATGAATAAATGAACAGAATAAAAAGAAGAATCAATACGTGAGAACTAGTTCATCGAGTTCTACTTGGAAAGAGGAGAGGACATACGAGAGAGCCAGAGAAAAAAGATCGACAAGGTCTCGTCAAACATAATAATAATATTAGAGACAGAGGGGGAGACGAAGAGAACGTTTTTCAACTTTCTCAAAGTTAATAAAAGGATGAAAAGAAATATAAAGTAAATCTCTCGCTAGTCTTGTATTGAGTGCTACGAGTTAAAATATAATTTATCTCCAGATTCAACACAAAAAAAAACAACAACGAAACACTAGTTGATCTTAATTCAATGTACAAACCCTCACGACTTCTCTCCGTCAACGTCAACAATGGAACAATTTATGAATCTTATTAATATAGTTTCAGCTGTACAATCTCCAGAAGGAAATGTTCTTTGAACTAGCGAACGATTGATGCAAAGTAACATGTTGTGAGCAAACATTCAATACGGGAATGAGCCTATGACCAAAGTAAACTCGCCTGGCAGTGTAATGATTGTGAAAGTGTCAACTTTGCAACATCCTTTTTAGTTGCGATCAAACTGACCTTTGTTCGAACTTTCAATGTAAGTCCGCTCTAATTTGAATAGAAACTATCAAAACAGGATGCTCGTGCGATCTCTAGGAAAGAGCAAAGATTGACTGGTTTTGAAAGAAATATAAGATGACAGTAGAAAACTAGGAAAACAGAAACAGAGCTATAAACAAGATTTTCAGAAAATGAGTGTACGGAACAATTTGAAAGGAAAACAATAAAAAGTTTCATTCCGTAGAAAAAGGTTCAAAAGTCATAGTGATAATAATCAAGTTCTAAGTCATAAGGTAGTTTCTCGGAAATTGAAGTGGTTGCATTTCCTACTTAATCAATAATAAATTACCGTTTAGTTCATACACTGATGTTTATCCTGATCTTGAGGTTTATCAGTAATCAGCAGTACTTGCAAAGAAGTGCTCATGATCTCACTGAAAACATTGAGAAACTAGATTGAACTTTTTATGTGACCAGTTACCTTTTGGGATGCTCAACCAGAGGCTACATGCCGTGACGATAAGGAAAATATTCATGTTCAATAATAAGATTATTTTCCTCACTTTCAATCCTGCAAGCAAGCGTCCACTGTTTCGACTAACAGTGTTTCTCAGCTTTATACCACACAGTCGATACAGTTAAAGCTAAATGGCACATAATTTAAAAAGAATAATTCAATACTTCGATAGAGTTAGACGCTATTTCTTGAGCTAGAACTGCAGTTCTTCGAGCGTTTATGATATCTAAAGTAACGGTGAATGTAGGATACGCGAGTGTTGAGCTTCATCAGCCAATCGTACCGATCGACTACTCATCCCGATAATGAAGTTTAGTTTTTTTCAGGAAGATCTCCTTGTGAAGTAATGTACAACAACTATACTAGTTTGTTGTGGGAAAATGTGAGTGCGGAGAAGGTCGAATGGATGGGCGTGTCTCGATATGCTTTGAGTTTTACAATAATACAGTACATTTCAGTAGTGGTTCTTGTAACCACAAATTGGAATTTCTGAAAATCATCTAGAAGAGCTAAAGTCGATGAGCCAAAAAACCAAGCCTCATTTTTGCTGTTGCTGAGCCACGAGATGCAGCAGAGAATGATGCTAGTTTTCAGAAAAAAAAAACTCTCTTCCCAGCTGCTTACCATCGTTCAAGAACAGTACTGCATTGAAAAAGTTGGTTCTCGATAAATTGTTAATACACTGTGTGCTTTTAATAGCATCTGAATTAGTACTCAAGTTTCTGTAATTTAAATGTTCTGTAGACCTGATATAATATGTTCAATGAACGAGAAACTGAAGAAAGATGTATTTTTACGATTGAAGTAGTTTGTTCTCTGAAATGAGCACCTGTGAATAGTTTACAGGTAATTGAAAGAAAGAAACACCACAACTTATATACTTTGAATCCAATCGGTTAACATTTTATCCCAATTTCCTAAGTATTCTGATTGGCGAGTGAGAGGTTAATATAGGAAAAATGAAGATTTCATACACTTTTACCGGACTCGAGAACTCTAGTTGCTATATTAGTTGAACGATGGTTCATTCTGCTTCTATGTCAAATAAAAAACTTATCTGTTATAGCAAGCTCATTCTCGAGAGGATGAATCGGAAAAAAATACTGTTTCATTCACTAGATGAGTTCGTATTACCAACTTCGAATTGAACAACTATTTTTACCAAATATATATCTTCAAAAGCTTTTCATTTCTCTATCTATGTTGTATAAGAGTGTTATGGAATCAATATAACGTGCTTGACTGTTGCCTTTTTAGACTCAATTGTGTTATTGATATCTGACATATTTATGTATATTACAAGATGAAGAAAAAGTAGACACCAGGGATAAGAAGGATTGATGAAAGCAATCTTTGACAATATCAAAAAGCATCAGCTGTTTGAGTTGCTTCGAATTTTTTGCTACCCGTTATTGTCGACTGAAATAACCTGATATAGGCAGACGAATCTTTCCCTACCTGAGATGGGAGAACTTGACTATTAAGTAGAATGACGGACTTCTTTATTCGCAGTAGTCGTAAAACATCTAAAAAATCTTTTCAATAAATCTGACTTCAGCATACCTTGTAAAAACAATTCAAGTAAGCTATTGTTAAGCACAATAATTCCTGCAGTGTTAGCTAAGCCATGTAACTGAGTGAGAAAAATGAGAATATGAGATGTGTCTGAATTTCGAAAATTATCTTTTCGAAACTTGACTGCGTAACCTAAAGTAATATTCCAATCCGTAAGCATTATAATGACAATTGTAATAGATGGACAGCTCAAAAGCATAGAAGGAAGAACAGTCTTGAAAGATTTACCGTTCGATTGTGTAATGAATATTTTGAAAAACCTGTAATTCAAGAGTTCTCAAAATTTTACGATGCATAGAGAGCGATTTCTGAGACATGAATGGTTGTTGATAACTCAAACATTTTGTTATAAGAATCTTGAGAATTATCAGAAAACACATTAAGGTTATCGCATTAATGAAGAAAAAGAGCATTTCTATTTGCAAAGACAACTCATTATATATTCTTCCAACATTGTAGGAGTACTGTATTTTTTGGAGCACACGATAAGCTGGGCAAGCCTGAAATTATGTTCGAAACATTGCCAAAAAAAGGAGCTCTACATTCACTAGAGCATCAACTTTTCTGTCTGAAGATGCAAGAGTATAGCTACTTATAAAATATGGTAAAGTGTAGAATGTAGAAATAACGCCAATTGATAGACGATACTTCCAATCTTCAAAATTCGGATCGCTTGTTCTCACAAGCCAATAACGATAAAAGAATAGAATGATACAGACAGCGAAGTACGTATAATGAATCACAACAGTCAGATTACATTGATAAGGGAATGGTATATTCAAATAATTCATAAGTCCGATGTTGTAGCCGGCATATAAAGGAAGGTAATAAACAGGAGTCTGAGAATGCAAACGTTGAAGCTTTCCAATACTTTAGCCCACCGTTATACAGCATATGAAAACTGCAGAAACTGTACTGGAGATATGATATACATATAAATAAGATTTGAAATAACCCAAAGAGTCGGAAAGTCCTCTAGACATCAATTTAGAGCAATAAATGCCGGATAAAAGCGACAAGACGCCGACAAAGTGTGAAGCAAAAAAATACCAAGAACTAGCCTCCTGGAAATCTTCTTCTGGACAGATGCCAAGAATATAAGTTTCGTTGAATGATTGTGTCATAATCATTTCAGAGAACGAAAGAGCGTGCTACGATTTTTTCAGCGATTTCATACAATGACAGCTCTCTAGAGGAAACCTTTCAAAATATTAAAATAATATTTAAACATTTAGGTGTTCAAATATTCCGAAGTAGTGGCTACCTTTTCGAAGAACTTGCTGCACTATTGCTATAGTGCTTCATTTCCTTAAACTCTTAAACATTATCCGTGCATGAACGACTGAATTAATCAGTTCGCAGATTGTGCACACAGAGCCTCCGAAACACCTGCCGTTAAAAATGAGAATTAATTGTTGTTACTTTTCGTATCCATTACTTTTTGTGATGTATAGACAACATATTTGACGAAAAAGGACTTCAAAATATGCGTTCGGGGGGAATCGAACCCCCGTCGAATGCTTGGAAGGCATCCATGCTGACCATTACACCACGAACGCTTGAAAACGTGCATTTTATGTCCATTGTCGTAACCTTTTAACATTTGTGATGCATAAACAACATATTTGACAAATAAGGACTTCAAAATATGCGTTCGGGGGGAATCGAACACCCGTCGAATGCTTGGAAGGCATCTGTTGCAGTGCAAAATTAAAATCGTAGTTTCACTTATCTACCTAACCAATTCATTCTCTCTCTCTCTCTCTCTTCCTCTCTCTTCCACTTCCCTTCCTTTTTCTTCTTCCTCTTTTTATCATTAATTTTAGTCTGATT